TAATTTTAAATAAAACATTGCATTTGTAATTACTAGGGACTAATCTCAATCTCAAAAATTAACAAGAAATTCAGAAATCAGTCCTCAGTTTAATTATATTTTATTTTGCCATCGTTTGTTGTGGATAAAAAATAAGTAACATTAAAGAGGTCATTTAACCTTCTACAGTACTTTGATTAAAACCCATTAAACTAGTTTCAACTGAATATGCATTTCTTGTATTACTCAGTCGAAGAGCATAATAACGATTTGGCGCACTTAAAAAACGCAATAAATATTCAAGAGTCTGAGCATGTACCCATAAAAAGCGTGTTACGAAAGGCAAATGAGTATTCTCATTTAAGTACATATCTTTTGCATGGCACTCGACCTTTTTAACCCCTGCTTGCCCCCGAAAATGCTGGGATTGCTGCTGACAGGACTCAGGATTCAGGATTCAGTATTCAGGATCCAGGATCCAGATTGCCGCCGGCTGCTCTGTGCACTCAACTAAAATAAAATAGAAGCGAGTGAGTTGTGTGCACGGCTCATTGGCAATCTTGCAGCGTGTTTTTTCGCTTTTCGCTGGATGTTTGCATTATTGTCAGGGGAAAACAATGGGTAGAGCTACTGCGAGTGCACGGCCCACGCGACTGATAAACAATAATGTCAATTTCATAAAAGCAAACACTCGTCGCCATTCACATTCAGCGGAGGCAAACATTTTCCGCACCCAACTCTGCTTCTGAATGCCAAGGGGAAGAGCAATCGATTGAAAATATATTCGAATTTATATTCATGCATGGCTTGTGACGTATTCATGGATTTATTTTTACCGATCAAATCAGGGACGTTAATTAAAGCGCAATTCGTCATGCACCTTTTTTCTGGAGCCCTTTTTGCAGAGGGACATGTATCCCTTTGAATATATTCATATGTGTATATGCTCGCATTTTAAAGTTAAATTAAGTTTGGGCCTCGCATTTTCCACCCATGCAGCTAAATAATTTATTTATGCCTGACATCAATTGATTTACAATTACTTATTTAATACACACTTTTATCCTCGAAAACGACACAATGCTCTCAAATGGATTATGTCAAACATTTTTATCAATTTGCGTTTCATCAATGGTATGCAATTTTACTGTCAAGTGCTTACATTAACTTTTGGATAATAAGAACTAGTTATTGGGAGAAATGTTGGATGCCCTGCTGTTTTTTATACATATTTTAATATAATAAGCTATCAAGAATTTTAAAAGAAAGCAGAAACTTACACACGCTAGCAATATCATCTTAAAGAATCCGTATATATATACTTTATTATACAACAATTTTTTAATAAATATACCGATAGTTTTAATATTAATAAAAGATAAGACCTTTTTTAACCGGGTTTTTAAAATGAAATTCTAATTTTTGCCTGTTTTTCCATTATTTTTTCGTTCCTATTTATGGAAGCTACAAAAACGTAGTTCTGAAAAATTAAACAAATATTACAATTCGATTGCAATGTGTAATTATATAAATTGTATTACTATTTTGTCATTCATTTTCCGAATGTTTCTTTGTTTATTTTAACGATGGTACACAAAATGTAATACCTTGCTTATAATAATTTACAAAAACTCTTTAATGTATGGATTTATTCCAGGCTTTCATTAAACGATTAATCGCATCTTTATTTGTTTTCCTGATTACATTAATAAACACGTATTTATTTGTCATTTGCGCAATTTACAAAAAAGGAAACACATATCACGGAAATGTGAATAAAAAGCCGACATGATTGAGTGTTTCATAAAATCGCAAATCTTGTTTAACTAATTACAATTTAAAGGCGATTTGGAGTGGGTGGGCTAACTTTTGAATAAATGAAATGGTTATTGATGTGCTGGAAAATATTTGATTTTTTGCTTGGTGATCAGAGTGCGGCGGCCATTAAACAGGGCCACAAAGCTAAAGGCCATAAAAAATCGCAATATGCTGCTGTTTTATTTGATTTACTTTTATTATTGCTGTGCCCAAAAAGATACCAGAACGGTGGACCGTTGAAGTATAATGATTTGGCGGGCCAATTTTTGAACATAAAAAAAGAAGAAGGCAAAATGGTTCTGTGTCGGACATTTATGTGCTAGATTTTATGGCAATTTTGTTTGGGCTAAAACAATAAGAGGATGTTGGTAGGTCCTCTCTGGACCTAAACATATATACATATTATACGAGGACAAGCTGAATCGGAATCTGATGCTCATTGTGTGCGAGTGGAGCGAACGCATAATCTAATAATATTTTATGTGGACAGCATAAAAAGCAGGGCACTTGAGAGTCCGTTGAACTTCCCTTCGTTTCTCCTCTTTTTACTCCAATGTCAAAGGGCAGCGGGATGAGCGTATCCATTGACCAACAAAGACAGAAAAATCCAAGCCAATTTATTGAAGTTTTTGCCGTTGGCCAAGGGCCATTACGAGCAGAAAGCAAACGGGTATCCAGATATTTAGTTTCTCAGAAATGCGAGTTTTATGATGATGCTTTAAAAACACTCACAAGCACACTCACAGCATTCACAACACTCACATAACACACACACACACCCCTCCATTAGTGGCGCAATTAACATTCAGATTGCGCATACGCCCTGTATGCTGCACTATTTATTTGTGTGTTTCATTTGCATTTTCATTAGTTTATTATCCAAGGATTTTTACATACATAGGATTTCCTAACGCCCTCCAGGCATTAAAGCCAAATGAGCTGGGAATAATGGGCATTACACGAGTCCCTATTAAGATTTTACGAGCAAAAAGGGAAATCTCTTGTGAAATATCATTTTCCATTTGCCTTTTTCACTTTCAAGTTGACAAGTGCTCGGCAGTGGATAAAATGATAAGTTAGTCAATCAGTTGATTATAGCCGGCTAAATATAACATCAGCAAGACAAAAGCTTTAGAGAAAGATTTGTGAAATGAATAAATAAAAACGCTAAATGGCCAGAGAGTAAAAATAAACGCGAAGCGAATTGAGAACGCAGAACAGCCAAGCCAACAAATATAAGCACATATATATCTGATATAATTCCCCCCTCTATTTTATAATATCTGTGAATATATATAGAGGGTATATATATATATGGCAATGCCTGTCTGTCTGTGGCTGACACATACCTTTGCCTCTGCATGTGTGTGTGTGTGCGTGGGCGTTTGATTGTTATGCGTGTGTGTGTGTTGGCCAAAATGCCATAAGCTGGTGTGACGTCACAACTGTGACAGAGATTCCGCGGGGAAATTATGCCATTGATTAGCCCGCAGCTCATCATTATGGCCATGCCAAGGAGAATGATGACGATGTGGCTGTGTATAGTGATGATGATGATGATGTAGATAGTGATGATTGTGTAGATAGAGATCATCATGATGATGCCAGTAATGACGTGTCAAACGGCAGGCGACACACCCCACACTCTGAAAATGGGCACACATATGGCGGAAACTAAAATTGGCTAATGGCCATTTGCACCCATTCCGCTTGCAAGTTCTCTGTTCTCCTACTGTGACATTTTCTGGCCATTAGACAGCCCGCGGAAATGTGCGAAAAATTGACTTTCAGTTTATGACAATTTGAAAATGTAAGCAGACGTAATTAGCATACAAATTCAACTAATTAATAAGTAATATCAAAGGATTTCGGACCGGGGATTAGGTACATATATACATTGTAAATTAATTTAGCATTCTCTACATTTAAAATTGTACAGACTATTTTATTTAAGTTTTTTATACGCACCTGAATGACAAACTTTTAACCGACTTTTTAATATACCTAAATAAAGGTTCGACTCTCTGATAAAAATTAATAAATAAGTAAATAGGGGAGTGTAGGTTATGGTGACGAACACGAAAATGTTTTATTTTTCTTCAAGAAAGGTTGCAAATGAATACACATTTAGCTGCACACTTAAAAAAATGTATACTTCAGTTCTGGTTTAAATTAATTAAGTTGTTCAATTTCTAGTTCAGAAAAATCAACGAAACATATTTTTTTTTTTACTTATCGGGTGTCAACAATACCGAAAAAATTAAATCTTCAAAATAACCTCACGAGCATATTACGCGAATTCTTAATAATATTATTGTGTATACATTGTCAGCACGATAAGAGAAATCGACTTTAATTATTTGGCATTTTTGACGTGACCTCACATTTGATATTTGAAGAGTTCGTCACCCTAACCTACACTCCCCCATAAATGTGACTTACCGATAAGCTGTAATGTCTGTCTTCGAAGAATAACTATATTCTTTTAAGTACATTTTTAAAGGCGAATTTAAAAATCATATTTATTACGACTTAACTTATTGGATTATATATATTTTTTAAAGCCGAAACTTTTTTTTTTTGATTGAAAATCCATGACTTAAGTACTTAACTTTATAGACTTTTTATAATATTTTTAAAAAAACTTTCTTAAGAAGATAAAAATAAATTTATATTTAAAAGTCAATGTGGTTTATTATATAAATGTTAAATATATTCTTTGCCTCATGATTATTTGCCCAACTTTATATTGACATTTTCATAAAGCGTTTTAAGGGAACTAAGTTTTCCCAATTCGCTTTTTGCTGTTTTAGACAGGCGTCACAGGACCTCTCTCCGATGGCCACTTAGGATGGCTAAAAATATCATCCAGGATGTGCACACACATGTTCGCACGAGTGTGTGAAAGGTCGAGAGGGGGTGTGTGTGGAAATGGGAGATAACATTTTAAAGCAATTTAGTTTTCATCGCACACACTCTGCGAAATATATTGATTGCCAATGCCACAATCACGTACACAGAACCCACGTATTTTTGCGGGTTTTCTATAGATAGTTTGGCACTTACATTGCGAACTCGCAATGCATATGCAAATGCAAAATACGAATGTCATAAATTATGCGTCCGTTTCGCCCCCTGATTGCCCCCGCATTATGATGGAAATTACAATTTGTCACCATTTGTTATGTATTGCATATTTTCAGGCAAAATGAATATTGGCATCGCAGCACCGAAATGGGATAAATTGTCGCCGCGCGAGTTTTTGCAGCTGCAGGAGTTGGCCTCATGTAAGTGTAAACGCAGTAAATCAAATTGCACTAATCAAAAGCACACATTTACAACGGGGGAAAATGCAAATTATGGCCAATCAGACGGCCCTTCATTTTGCCATTTCGTACTTTTCCTGGCATGGACAGATAGGCCAATTAAAATCTTTTTGTTTGCCCTTAAATTTGCAATCAGGCTAACCAACATTTGCTTACGCAGGGCCTTTAAAAACTGTGAGGCTTTAAGTTTTAATACAATTAATTAATAGATACATTAATATCCTGTGCTTTAATCAGTAATTAAAAGTTGCATTTTAATTAGGTTTTTCAATTCAAAATGTGCTAAAATTTTATTTAGTTGAGAAAATCAAATTAATTATATTATATACTTTATGATCCCCTAACTTCATTCACAAATTTTTAACATAAGTTTTTTTTTAAATATTAATTAATACTTCTTTTGAAATACAAAATTCAATAGTTTTTTAGGTTACCAACCAATAGCATACCAATTTTTTATAAAATATCCATGAGGCCATAAGAGAACTTAAATCAATTTAAAAACAATTTCCATCCAACTGCTATACCAGAAATGTTCTTTTTTCCATTCCAAGAAACATCTTTTTTTAGCATCTTTTGCTGAATATGTTTTTTTGCTCCTCCATCTTCACATGCTCAAAAAGAAAGCATAAATTTCCCATCTCTGCCTTTAGATAGATTTACATTTTCGTCTGGCTTGCACTTGCAATTTCAGCAGATTTCTCATGACAGCCAAAGCTCGAGGAGCGCATCTTAAAGAGCGATTTTGTGGCAACATCCTTTTCACACATCTGCTGCACATCCCCCAGAGTTACAGTTATGTCTGACACTGTTTGCATTCTTTGCTGCAGCTGCAAAGCTGTTTGACATGGCAAAGTAGTTTACCTTTGGGTGAGCACTTCGCTCCACTTCATCTCGCCGGTTGCCTGGCAGAGGGAATTACACGGCACGGCAAATGGGAATGTTGAGCTTACGGATTATGGGATATTACCCAGAACACGCCCCGAGTCTGGATGGTTCTCGTGAACTTGGACCGGTCTTAAGCTCCACTTGGATGATGGAGTGCCGCGTTTCTGTCAGTGCAGCTGCCAAGGCAATATTCTCTCCGAAATCGAAGAAGCTCGACAAGTATTTCAATATGAAGTATAAATATGTATACTATATACATGGTATTTCATATTAGGAACATAAGTACAATTTCCAGTGAAAAAATAGGTAGTTAGAAGGTTGAAAGCATGAAGTTTTCGCTTTACAGAATTTATAAAATCGTATAGGTACAATTAAAGCATATAAGATTCGTCCTGTTTATATTTTATATTTAAATTGTAAAGTAAAATATCCAGTGATAAAATGTACATCATAAAGATTTCGCTTTAAAGCTTAAATACAAATTTATAAGAATAACAAAAGGGTATAATGTTCATTATGTTAACCTTCATATTATGAACATAAATGTGAATCCCATGAAAAAACTTTAAAGGGCAGACTTTACTGCTTAAACCTTTTCTTATAATAATTTACATTAAATAAAGTTGACCCTGTTTATGTTCCATAATTTAAATTTATTATTACCAAAACAAAATGTTAAGGAACACAGAAAGATAAAAAAAATATTAACTTAAATTGATCTTTTTTTAAATTTAACATTCATTTTAAAAAACAATTCATTCTAATTACCCACCTCAAAATATTATTATTTTTTTAAGCATTTTAAAGCTAAGTTTATTTTCAATTAAATGTTTATATTGATTAAAGTGTTTTTTTAAGTCTGAATATAGTTCTTAAATAAGTACCCAAAAAAAGTTAGCTAATTTTTCATAGGTTCCAAAAGTTTAACCTTAGGTTAATTAATTTAAAATTTATTTATGACCGTTTTAAAGTGAGGGAAACCCCTTTCCTTTGGTTGTATCTCCTTCGGCGGCACCCGCATTGTAATTTGAGATTGTGGCCATTCAGGGCGGGGGGCGTGGCCCAGGATATATATATATATGTATGTGGGTGCGGCTGCAGGTGCTTATTAGAGTGCGGTTAAACTGTTTTTAGTCTGCGGTGCAGCCCCGAACGAAAGCCATCAAAAGTGTCGGGTGCAGCTGGCATTTCGTTGCCAGGGAACAGAAACTGCAAACTGGAACTGCAGATTGCTAACTGGAACTGCATTCAAGTGCAGACACTCTGCACAATTGCGGTTCTACACACCAGCGTACACACAACTCTCATTAGGTTAATAAAACCCTGGGCGCAAAACATTTCGGTCGGAAGACTCCCCGTGGACTTTATTCCAGGCATTTTGCAGTAGCATGTCAACTCAACCGGACCAAGTCCAAGTCATCCGGCTCATCCACACCCACCCGCATTTACTTACACGAACCACTTGTTTTCCATTAGTTAATTATACCCACGGCGCTGCAGTTGATCCACCTGGGGGAAAAACACCTGACCACCGGGGCACTTAAGACGTCGATTTAATTCACCTGGCGCCAGTCGAGCGATTGACGTGTGCGCCGGCTAAACTGAACTTTGCATAGTCCCCTCACGGCTTACAGGACTCACCTTACACTCACCTGGCTCGCCTTACACTCACCTGTATTTGTCTTGATCCTTGCAGATTCCACCCGAAAGCTGCAGGATGTTCTGCGGGAGTTCAGCTCGCCGAGTGCAGCCAGCACGCCCAAATGCATTCCGGATGGGGTAAGTGTTGCCAAAATCCCCTGCTCCGTTCCGCTCCTGTCCTGCAATTAATTGAAAGCGGATGAGGATGGGGATGGGGATGGAGTTGGAGGGCAGGAGCAGGAACAGGAGTAGGATTGGAAGGGGAGACCCTACTCACAGCACGAGTCAAGGACTCCCTTTGCTTTGCCTCATGTTGCGTCTTACACTTTAATCCCCAACCTGGCGACTTGGGAAGACCGATGAAAGGCGATTCAGCTAAGCTAGCGGAAGCTCACATGGGTGCACTGAGAGAAAAAATTGAATAGACTTATAGGTGATAGGGAAAAATTGAGTTAACGCATTTTTGAAAATAAACGTTCATGTGTGCACTGCTGAAAACAATTTAGTTAATTTATGGAAGGCAGGAACAAATTATTTAAGCCCTAAAAGATAATGAAAATAATTTAACAACCTTCATATATATGTATGGGAAAGTTTATTATATAAATATAATTTTTTTATTTTATTAGAAATATGATTAAAATATAATATTTGGGATTAAACGCCAAAACTATATGGGTAACTACAGGAATTTTTCATTTTTTTTTTTAATATTTTTCTTTTACATACTTAACTACAATTTAGCCAGCGTTATTAAACAATGAAATTTTAAAAAATATATCATTTTAATCTTTAAAAAATTCAATATCATACTGTTGTTATATATAATCCGAAAAAATATCTGGGATACCTTATCAATTTATAAACTTGCAAATTTTATTTCTTTCGGATATTAAATTACAATATTTTTAGAAAAAGTTGCCAAATAAATATCTAATAAAAGAAACACATAGGGAAACTTTTTATAAAATATTTAATTATAATTTAAATACTCAAATTACCGGTCTCAAATGGCTTCCATTGAATAGATATTAAGAGAGGGTGGGGGGGGGGGGGGGTCAGCCAGGTGGGGCGAAAGATTGAAAGTAAATCTTCTTATACGTACAATAAATCACAGACTTTTCAAGTTTACGCCCGAATGCCAAATTGAAATTGAATCCCAACAGAGACAGACACTGTAGCCGGGCACCCTTGTCCCCCAAATGAATATCCTGACAAGTTTATACATACTAAATTAATTTGAAACTGCCTGCAAGGCCATCAATTTGGTTAGAGCAGGAGATACGGGAGATACAGGAGATTCAGGAGCTTCAGGAGATGGGAGCTGCATAAATTGTTACTCTTTTGTCCAAATGCCCAGATCAGTCTCGGGTTACCAAGGCGACTAGCATAGTAATGTGCATTTTTAATTTGGGAATTTGAAATCATTCAAGCCTGAAGCATATTGCATATGTATGCAAAACGGAAAAACAGTATCCCAGTTTTTCTTTTGTTTTTCCAGCGTAACGAAATGGAAAAAGTATAATTAAGTTTCCGTCACTCTGGCCAACCTTCTCGATGCCCTTCCACATGTTGGATTCGGTACGTGGTGAGTGAATGATTCGAATGAAATTCACTTTGATATCGAACACTTCTAGCACTCACTGTTTGTCAGGGCACGGAATTTTCCGTTTCGAACAAAAGTAATGCCCGTAAATATTTCAGTGAGTGAAATGAATTGAGATGCCACGAGAGTTGTTCTGGCTGCCTGGCAACATTTTTTCCTATTCCATGTAAGCAGCTTAAGTATATGTCCTTAGTCCTCCAACCTCCGACAGCTTTAAGTTTCACTCAGGGATTGGCTTTAAGCCCGGCGGCTCCAATTAGCTTAATTAAGAGCAGTTTGTCGTCAGGTGGCAATGAAAAATTATATGTTTTCCGCTGTTTTTCCAACCCTTCACCAATTATTGGTCACTCGATAAGAGGGGGAAGTTTTTAAAAAAGTAAGGAAGGTAGAAATGTGAAATAGAGCCCATATGGTCATAAATTACAAGCCGAACACTGCGTTGCATAATGAATGCAGAGCCCAGATTATGTTCGCCGTGGAGTGGAGCGAAGATGAGTGCCAAATGGCCCGCATGCGCTGCCATCTGTGCGTATGTGTGATTAGAGCGTGTAATGAATATCACGCATACGCACCGAACGCCCGAAATGTGCTTGAATATTTATTCATTAAGCCACGCGCTCACGCATAGCGTCACATAACGCATCCATGGGGATTCCGGCGGAGATTGAAGCCGGGAAAACAGCGGAGGTCAGATAAATACTACTGCTTACAGCACTAATTGTGATATGTACTTCAGGAAAGTCTTTTAAAAATATTTCCTAAATCGAAATCTCACTATGCATTACAAGTGTATCACATTTAAAAACAACAAATCAAATTTATAGAACCTTTTAAAAGATTTTATAGAACTAAAATATTACTTTGAAGCTATTTATAGCCCAATATACAATCAATGGTGTTCATATTAATTTATATAAAGTCTATTTAAAGACTACTCTACTTAGATTTTTTAATCAAATAATTTTATATATAAATATTATTTATAAAATTTTAAAATGAAATAAGTTATCAATCAAACATAATGCAGTTTGAAAATGGAATGCGTTGCTAAGAAAAAAAACAAGATCTTTCGAGCTATCTTTTCAAGTTGCCTTAACTTTTATTGTTATAATAGCGTAAAGAACAAGCTACTATTCATTGGATTAATTATAAAACAGTGCTACTAATTGGACCCACATTGTACTTTTCTAGAATGTTAAAGAAAGAGGACCCCCCCCTGAAAAGGAGAAAAAGAGGGCTCTTCGCACGAGTATCTCGTTGCTCCTTGCTGGCTAAATAAATTTTGCTAACGCAATTCGCGCCATTATTATAGTGCCTGTGTGTGAGTGCGAGTGTGCGAGTGTGACTGGGTTGTAATTTATGTGTGTGGCCATGGGTGTGCGTATCTGTGTTTGGGTTTTACAATATGCCGATGTTCCTCCACTTAGGCGTATCGCCGCCATTTGCGTTCCCTGGCTTTAAGCAGTTTGCCACTCGGCACTCGCAGCATCGCAGCTACATAGCCCTATATATGGATATATATATAGTGGTAGATGCTGTGTAGTGCCAGCCGACGACACCAGAATAAACCTCCATTTGCCTGTATTCGGTTTCATTATGGCCAAGGAAAGGAGCCAGCAGCCAGCAGCCGGCAAACATCCAGCAAGTGGTTGGGTACACAGAGGGAAATCAAATCAGTCTTAATGGTTTTCTATTTATTCCAATTTAACAAAGTCTCTTCTTCTTTTTAAGACGTCCATGACAGCAACTAAACAAACGTAATACTTTCTTAAATCTGAATTTTTAACTTGTCAGTAAATGGAAGAAAAATAACTGGAAGAAAAATAACAATACATATTTAAGTACCAGGCCCAAAACTAAAGCATACTTTGAAATACTTACCCTTTCTTAAACTGTGAGACTCATTTTATTTTAAAAGATATAGTTTATTTAAATTATAAATATAACTATTTTTTTAATTACTGACTGAAATATATTTTCAATCAGAACTATTTTTTTGTAATTTTGTAGTATCATTTATTTTCTGATAAGTATACATTTAGGGGCATGATTCAAATATTTACTTATATTATAAAAGTCCAAGAATAAAAGTTCTGCCTTTTTAGAAAAATTCCATTTGTATTTAAAGACCTTTTAAAACAAATAATTGGTTTCTTAATCCATTATTTATTTGTAAATTATCTTAATAGTTTATGTGTATCTTTTTTCCGTGTGAGCCCAAACTTTGGCGTACTCTTAATGTAACCCAGCTCTGGCTCGTTTACTTTGTTTTATGTTTCGAAATTTAAAACGATGCAAAATAGCAGCAGAAGAGGCGGCAGCTCGTGATGGGTCTGATAATAAAGGCAGATATTTCCAGCAAAATAGATGTACTCCCAGTCTGTGGGTCTGAAATCCCCATCCCAAACTCCTCTGATTATTTCATTACTTGCGACACGAGTCGCTGCCTCTTGCGCAATTAACCGCACACCCATTTCCCCTCTGGGATCCTCCTATCCCTGATTGGCTTTTGTCCTCGAAGGGGAACTTAACCTGGTACTGAAACCGAAACTGGCAACTGTAAAATCCGTAAAGCTGCCATGGGTCCTACGTCTATCAATGTCACCGAATTCGGAATGCCTATCAATGTGGCATTGTTGATTCAAGCATTGCGCCGCAGCTGTCAATGTATTGACATTACACGTGGTGTTGACATGTAATTTGCCCCGATACCCATTCAGGGGTTTTCAGTTTTCAGGTCCCGGTTCCGTTCTGCATCCATAAAAACATAACACCCCGAACCGAACCCCTTGCCAAATGGCAAATAAAGAGGCGCGCCAGATCCTTGAGGGACATTCCCCGGCACGTACGAACCGAATGGAAATGGAGATGGAGATGGAAATGGAACCTTTGCCCAGACAGAGCTCGGATTTATGTGGGAATCTTGTGCACTGGACAAATATAAATAAACTGCTGGCTTACGGATGCGCCCACAGGAGAATTATGTATTCCGTGCGCGTTAAAATGAGCTAAATTTTAAAGCAAGAATCTCGGCTAAATGTTATGAACTTAGTTGGTCGGGATATTCGACCTTCAATTAGGCCACAAATTGAAGCGACGCCTCATCCGTCAGCACCATTATTTAGTCGGCAGATAAATGTACTCGCGCTTCACTTGCCACGCAGAAAATCATCTCTGAATATGTCGCAATATGGCGGGCATTTATTAATCATACGCTCCGTTGTCAACGGTTATGAAGCCGCATTCCCTTCTCTCTGGGAAAAATAAAAGAGAAATGCGCGGAGGTCCTTTTTGCAGAATGTTTTTCGCCATAATAACGTCAACATATTATGTTGCATAAGTAGCTCTTCCAGCTCTTCCCCTCGCGCAACCTCAATCTTCTCTGTCACAACAAACCCGATACCACTCGTAAAACTTGGCTGAAAAAAGGGCAGTGGCGGAGAAAGTGGAGAAAGAACTATGCAACGAGGAGAGTCCTGCACACATTTCAACTTGTCACTTGTAAAAGGCCTGCGGTAGATTTATTATATGTTCTTGCAGAGGGAAAAATGGGATACAGCTTCAGAATTGTCAGATCAAAGGGTTTTTTGGGCCTCCATATTGTTTTTAAGATTTTGTAAATATTTGGGCTGTAGATTTATTAAATACTTCTACTGGTATAGTCAAATATAAATAAGGATATTTGGAAAAATTTCAGTTTTTGCGTGAGGGGAGATGTTTTTTAATTTAAAGCAGCAAAATGTAAGGCTTTGCTATTCAATTTTAAAGTTAGTCTTTTAGATTCTTAAGTCCTTGATAATCCAAAGTCACTAAATTGAATACATTATACATTAACGTTTTTTCTTTTAATAAATTAATAGGTTCTTAAATACGAACAAAAATATTTCAGATAACTTACTTTAAAAAAACAAGTTTACAAGTTAGGCATAAATAACTAAAAGATAGATATACATAGTTATTTATAAGTAAACAAATTAGTAATTCCTCAGTTTATATCCCTTTTTTGCACATGTTTCGCTTGAGGAATTCAACAAAAAACGTGGTCCCTGACAACTTATTAAAAACGGACAAGACAAAGGCCCTCCATAAATTACCGGATGGGCTCGTTTTATTCATACGTTCCAACTCTTTTCGCAGGACATTGACTTCGATGGGTTCCGGCGCTTCCTGGACGCCTTCCTCGACTGCGAGGCGCCGCTGGACCTGGCCAAGCATTTGTTTGTGTCCTTCCTCAAGCCGAATGTCACCCAGGCCCAGCTGCATGGCCGGGCACTTAATCAAATGGCCGCCATCAGCAGCACGGCCGCCTGTGCCCCGGTCACGTCGCACACGAAGGGTAAGAGGTCGTCCTTGCCACCCCACCACCCAACCATCCATTCACCTCCCCCTATTGTCACCCCCTCGTGAGCATGTGAATAATTGCTAAACATTTCTTTTGGCCACCCCCACATCACTCGGCATTCCAACCGCCTGTAATTAGGCTCCATACCGAACATCAATAGCATTGCCGAGTTCATGCCGCAGTGCAGCGGCAGCGGAGGCGGAGGCCCAGGGGGCGTGGCCGGGGTCGAGGGTCACGCACCGACCCGCAGCAGCTTTGTGGACAAAATCCACGGCATCACGGATAAATTACACCACTCACTCGGCGGACATCTCTCGCATGATCCCAGCAAGACGGGTGAGTTACAAGGGGACCAGAAACACTTTAAAGCAGTTCTAAGATCGGGTATAAGGTTTAAGGTTTAAAAACTATTGTAAACTTTTTATAATACTATAACTTACAAAAAACTTTTGTGTTTCCTTAAAACTTCCTTTGAATCATATTCTTTTTTTCCACATATTATATTGTATTTTGTGTCTACATGTATGTATGTAAATAAGATAGTTCTTGATAACATTTTTAACATTACTTACAATTTTATAAAATAAAAGTTTTTTATTAATTTTAAATGTTTGCAACTAAATACAAATTCAACAAATAACGTACTAATTTGAAAAATAAATTTCTTTAAAGTAATAACTAAAAAGTGTCCAATAAGAGAACAATTTTTGTAATTACGATATTATCTACGTCAAGTAAAGTGTAATCTTGAAATAACAAAATCGTTGTAAGTCCCTTATAAAGTCCCAAAAAACTTTGGGACTGTTGAATTGCTGAAAACCAGAGTTGCCACCTTATTTCATTATAAGGCCATTACGACTTTGTAACATTTTAGTACTGGTGTACATTTTAGTACTACTGGTGACAGTAAGCATTATTTACTTTAAGAAAAATTTAGAAAGTATACAAAAATATAATATTTCATGTTTTTACTTCTAAAAAGAGTTATCAACTGGTCACAGCTGTTCCAAAATTCAACAGGAACCAGTAAGAGTCGTTCCCAAAAATGGCTGACATTTTCTGTTGAATTTTCAACAATTCAGCACTTCAAAGGTTTAGAGAATACCCAGAATTTCTTTCGTTAGATAAATTAAATTTAAAGCCATTTTCATTAGAAGTAAATATTTTTTTTCAATTAAAATAAAATGGAATTTACTCAGAATTTCACAAAGTTTATTCCAAATATTTGTTTGAGTGAACAGTAGATAGTTTCCTGCCTTCGGGCACGTGTTTGCTATAACCACTTTATTGGCCGGCGTGTTTTGTGTAACAGGCAGTGTCCACCCGATGCTCACCGTGACGCCGAGTCCCTTGGCCAGCGGACCCAGCATGTTCCCGGCCAGCAATCCGGCCAGGCGATCCGTGGACTCCAGTCCCTCGCATTCGGCCACCAACCACTCGCAGATGTCCCGCAACTCCTCCAAGAAGAGCAACAATTCGGTTAATTGCAAAATTGATGGTGAGTATTAATTAGGCAACATATCCCCCCTCCCCCTTGGAAACTACAATGTGCAAGCGACTTCCAATTAAGACGCTTATTGTGCAATCAGCATGTGATGTGAAAGGGGTTTTTGGGCGGGTGAAAGTGTAGGGGAAAGTGGGTCGGCCATCCTGGCAGCTGGAAATGCACAGCCAACTGATTGGCCAGTCAACACACGAACATATGGGGCGGGGAACAATTCAAATGCGAAAATTAACCGTCTATGTGCAGAGCGCTCCATTTGTTCGGGGAAAACAAACTTTTGTGATTGCTTTCTGAATGGAGGGCAGCATTTGTTATAATGGTTTTACATGTGAAAGCGGGTCAAATGGCTGTGACTTTAGTTGCAAAAGGTGCGATGCGGGAATACAAATATGTATATATATCACCATAACAATGGGTAGGGTTATATTGTTTGAAAAACTCGCATGGAACTAGAAAAAGGCAATCTATTCGGAGCTATTTATTCCTTTATTGTTTTATGTTTTTTTACGTGAAGATATACATATATGTAGATAGAAAACATTTTTATAAGGCCCAATGAACCCGAAATTGAAAAAAAGATGTTAATCTTATGTTACCCATCTTATATTTGCTAATTTTGTATTGAAAGCCTAATATTTATTTTTATTATTAAATAAAATTCTCTTTTTTCTTATCCACAAATCAGTGAATTGGGAAAACAAATAACAATCTACTCACTCTTGTCTACAAAGTGCATATAAAACATACAAATTATATAAACAAAATAAAAATACCACTTAAAATAAAATTCAAAAATATCTTTTATTTATTCCCTCTACCCTTAAGTACACTTTCATTTTATTTTATTTATATTTCAATTTGTAAACAAGCTTTAATATCTCTCAACAAAAAATATGCGTAACTGCAGCTCATCTGGATTGCTTATTAGCTAAAAATCCCCGGCTTATTTGCCATTTGCTTAGTTAACTTTCTCGCGAACTTGCTAATTAGGGAAGCGAGTGCATAAGACAAAAATCAGCAGGGAGGGAAGTCAAGGCAGACATTCGGTAATTCATGAGTTCATAAATTATAAACCAAGGACCAATGCCGCCCAAGTTGCAGTCCTTAGAAAAGACGAAACTTGGCACCGGAAGTCGGTCTTACTTCCCGTCCCGCAGCCTCGCCTCTTCCTCTTTCTACCCTCTTCCGCTTTCCTTAAAAGAACAACAAAGAAAAGCTAAAAAACAAACATAAAACTGAGCATCTCTCGTCTCAGAGATCGTGTCGTAAATCAACGCCCAATTAGAAACATTTTTGCATTCACGAAGTCGCAACTCGTAAAATGAGAAGCCTGCGTTAAATTAACATTTATTGCTCTCCCTCACACATACAGAGAAACGCACCAGGACTCGCTCACGCACACAGACACAGCCAGGCGCACTTGCGGCCTGAAAGTATGCAGCTGAATTTTTTCGCTTTTTTTTTGGCGCCCCCGTTTTGTTTCCCTTTTTGCTTTCATTCATTTCGCTTCGTTTGAAATGTGTACGAGAATGATTAATGAACGTAAATTTCTTCTTTTTTTCCCTCGTTTTTTCGCCCCTTTGTCGCTGGCCAACAGTTTTACGCATTTTGCCAGCAATTGGAAGGCATTGTTCTGAAAGTTCAGAGGGCGGAGTACACAGAAAAAAAAAATGTTTACTACCACTTTGTTAAATTAAAATCGATGCTGAGAAAAATACTAATATTATAATTGAATAAAAATACAATTTGTTTAAGATTTTTGTGTGACTGATAAACATAATTTAATTTAAAAGAACTTTTTTTTTTATTAATATTAGAACTTCAACATCTTATTACGTTGTTTTAGCGGTGACCTTTATATCGAAAACTTTGAGCTTAGAAATATATAGAGAAAGGAAACAAGTCAAGACCAAAGAATCTGACTTTAAGAATTCGTCTTCTCCCTTATTCGAGAAAAAGCGTTCTTGAAATCAAGAAGAAAACGTTCTCAATATCGTCTATCTTGACGAATGGAGACTTCAAGACATTGTTTTCCCACTTATTCGAGGAAAAACGTTCTTGAAATCAAGAAGAATTTGCTCTCAATATTAGTTTTCAAGATAAAGCGATCTTGAAATTTAAATTAAATTTAAACACACTATAATCTAGTCTTGCAAACAGAGACCACTTGATTCTTGATTGTGAATCTAACGCTCTTTTCAGATTGAAGGAACAGTTTTTTGTGTGTGTGAACAATTTCTAAAATGAATTTTTCATAAAAAATTTTTTCCTCTGCAGTAAATTACGCCAAAGGCAAAAGGACGAGGCCCAGTCAGGAATTTCCTATTAGCATTATATATTAAGTACAACAAGGGCCCCGCTTCCTTCCTTCGAGTGTATATGTGTGTGTGTTTGAGCGCCTTAAGCGCTAATTGGATTAGTTTTGCTTTGCTTTTGGTATTCCTCTGGCCTTTGTGTGTGTGTGAATTAAATTTATCAGTAGTCCAAATGTAGGCCGGCAAATAAGTTGACATTGATCCTGCACACACACAAACTCAGCCTGTTTGCACAACTTCCTTTGCACTCATCGCGAAACCAAGAGCCTCATTTAGTTATTAAGAAGAAGGGCAAATATTGGCATTGTATGCGGTATAAACATATCTATGGATTTTAATTTATTGCCCACAAAGGCTCCGACATTGGGCAAACATAATTAGCTAAAATACAATCATCTCCATGTCTTTTTCCGGCTGTTTGTCTAACTCAGAAGGAAACTCCCTAACTGCCTGTGCATTAACATATAAATTACCACATCAACGGCACACACGCAAATGGCCTGTCAAAATAATAAAAGATGGAAATCATTCATGTTCCCACAGAACCCAAACAGAGAGAAAGTTCCTTTGAAAATTTCTAAACAATTTGCTGGGCGCTTTGATTTCAATTCATTATGTAATTACGTGGGCTTCTATTGGAGAAGAAGAGCAAATAAAAAAAAGGTGAATAAATTAGTAATTATGGAAAAACAAAGTTAAACGAGCTGAAAGTATCTGGAGCATAAGATGAGAAAAGTTTTGGGTAGCAGGCTCAAAGCATTAGGGCCAAGTACTGGAAAACAAATTGAGGCAGCGAAATTTCCGGAAGCCAGGAGTTCATTAAGAGCCATAACGATTGGCTGTTGGCTTTTTTGGCCCGGTCAAATGTCGGCAATTAACATTAAGCATAATGGGCCTGTCAGCTGTCGATGGCATTAAGAATAATGAGGGGCCGCCCTCTCTGTGTGTGTCACTCGTTGAGAAGAGCACTTAATGAATGCACTTTCACATGCATTTCTCCACCCACTCACTCACTCAACCCTCTTTCACTTGCAGCTGACATTAAGCTCCTGGCGCGAAAACTTTCCCACTTTGATCCGCTGACACTCAAGGTTCCGCTGAAGGATGTCGTCTGCTATTTATCACTGCTCGAGGCCGGACGCCCAGAGGATAAGTTGGAATGTAAGATTGACCCACCCAGCAACCTTTTCCATTCGGCTTCCTACTTATTATACCCGTTACTTGTGGAGTAAAAGGGCAAACTAGATTTGTCAGAAAGTATGTAACAGGCAGATGGATGAGTTTCCGACTATATAAAGTATATATATTCTTGATCAGAAACTCTACCCGAGTTGAACTACGTATATCCAACTGTCTGTCCGTCCGTATGAACGCTGAGTTTTCGAAAACTATTAAACCTACAAAGTAAGAATTTGGATTGCAGAACCCTTAACGCTAAACCTTTATATTATGTTATTATATTATTATATTATAATATTTTGTAAAAAGGTAAATGTGGTTTTGTTTTGACTATCAATACCCTTCTACATACCAAAATTTGTTCAAATCGGACCATAAATTAAAAAGTTATAAGCAAATAAAGTGTGCCATCTCGGAAACAGCCGATTTGCTGCATGCATATCTCCATCTCCCTCGCACTTCCTTTGGTTAAGTAACGGGTATCTTAAAGTCGCGGCCGTCGGCTATAGCATTCTTTCTTATTCATTACCTATTCATTGCATTCGCAGTCATGTTCCGGCTCTACGACACAGATAGCAACGGAGTCCTGGACACTGCCGAAATGGACGCCATTGTCAATCAGATGATGGCCGTGGCCGAATATCTCGGCTGGGATGTCAGCGAACTGCGTCCGGTGAGTGCGCCGCTTAAGTCCGGCTTACATTAAAAACTCATTACGCGATTGCAATTGCGATTGCAATTGTGCAATCGATGCACAGCCCAAATCCACTTACAACACCCACTGTAAATCCACTCTGTACATCCACTCTATCAGTCGCTTGGCGGCCACGGATCCCGAAACCCGTTCAACTACTCATTGACCCAATCCAATCCATTCCAATAAAACTTTTTCAATTACTTACGAACATTTTCAGCAGCAAACACAACAAAGCACCAAACAAAACACAACGGAAAAAACACTCGAAATTAATTTCTCTTTATTGTTTGGACTTTATACTTCAACGATAGTCCCAGCTTAGCTGCACGGAAAGGAAAAATGGGTCACTTAATTAGGGCATAGAAAATACTTTCAATAAAAAAGAGGAAAACAGTTTAAAGGGAACGGATATTCGCGGTTTTGAAACAATTAAAATGTATCTTATAACCTTTAAATACCAGTGCATATATTTTTTAATAACATTTAAGATAGGTTCCTTTTTAAAAAATCAATAAGAATAATATAACCATTTTATAACCGCTTAAAAATCATTATTAATCTTTATTAAAAAGTTGTGAAAAGCTTTCCTTAGTTCATTAAATGACAATGAAAACCCTTGAAGCTTAAAATTCGTATAGCCAATATTTGTGGGGTCCTTTTTTAATTAAAAATCAACCCATAAATACAACCATCTTAAACCAATTAAATAAATCATTCACAATCATCATAAAAACAAGTGAAACAATTTTCTTATTTAATTAAATGATGATGAACACCCCTTGAAGATAAATATTTCTGTTAATCAAAAGATTAATGCTAATAAAAACAAGTACAACTTTCTCTTAATATTCCGAAGCAAAAGTTTCTTTTTCCTCAGGCACCAAAAGTATTGTAATAAAATATTTATGGTTTTTCTGACTTCTCTTGAGTTCTGAGGGATAGCATTGTTACATTTATCCAGCGGCAATGAACTTAATTAAAATACATATTTTTCGTTGTGTGTGTGTGCTTCGAGCTTTCATTTCAACCGCAAATTTGTGGAGCTGCCGCGGCTACCACATCGCATAGGCGACTTAATAGTTCCACCAGCAGCAAAAAGAACAGGCTTAAAGCGTTTCCCCCATCAACCTTATAGCCTAACAACCGGCCAAACCCCCTCGACGTTGACAGGCAAAGCAAAAAAAAGTATATATATATATTCTATAGAAGGAGGAAAAAAAACAACGAAAGAACTGCGACCGCAAATAAAGTCAAAGCGCCACAAAACTCAATTAACAAAATACCCCTGGCTATAGCGGAATGATTCCAGCCGCATTTCCCGCCTGTTGTCCTGCCTTTTCCGCTGCTCGAGAACCGAGTTCCATTGCCATCGTGACTTTATGACTGCCGCATACTTTAAATTCTAGGCAGACACAGAAAATATTTTAATCAAAATATTTTTAGCCAAGTTCTGGCCAAGAGGCCAAGTTTGGGTCAGCCCTTATCCTTTTCGCTTTTCACTTTTCGCTTTCCGGTTTGCGCCACACAAATAATCAAAGTACTTAATGAGTTGCATAATTCTGGCATTCATTTCCGGTGGAATATGAAATTTCTCAAGAAAAACAAAAGGGATTCGAAAGTTGAATAAATTTGGGAAGCGAAATGTTCATTCCCCCTTGAATATTTTATTGAGTTAAAGAGCTTGTACCGCATCGATCTGTTAAGTCTTTAATTTAATAACATTTAAAGGTATTCATTAAAACATTTGTTCTATTTCTTTGCTGTGTACCTTAAGACATTTTAAAAGCTTTAGAGATTTCTTTTGCTGGTTTTCCCAAAAATAATATTTGTACATTTGCGCAGGAAATGCATTTGCCCAACGAACCCAAGGTAATAAGTTTACATTCCCTTCGACCGAGGAGAAGTGCATTCCAAACAGGAAGTTAGCTTTCCGTTAAGTTTCATGCCATCTAAAAATTACCCTTTTTTTTGGCTTCTACACTCCACTCACTGCAATCCGCAATCGCTTTTTGTACTTACAGATACTGCAAGAGATGATGGTTGAAATTGACTACGATGCCGACGGCACAGTGTCCTTGGACGAGTGGCAGCGGGGCGGGATGACAACTATTCCATTGCTGGTGCTCCTAGGTGGGTAATTTCCCTTTTTGCACAGGGAGAAAATATTACTATGAATTACGGCCATTTCAAATTTTCATATGCATTTTTATAAAAAGTCCATATCAAATTATCAACTTGCTATTAATCTATTTAGAACATTATGATTTTAGATCCAGCTTTTTTAAGTATCCTTAATGAATTTTAGAGGTCTTTTAGATGGTTTACATACCATCAAAATAATCATATTTCCATTTTTCGAGTATAAATAAAAAATCAGGATTTTACAAATTACAATTATAGTATCAGCATCTTAGAAAAAAAAAACTTTAAATATTTTTTGAAAGCACTATCATATATGCATATTTTAAATAGTTTCTTAGAAAAAATATAAACTGAAATTATTGATATATCAGCAGCACAAATATTATCTAATAGGCCCCGCTCAAAAAAAATCCATTATGATAATTATATTATGTATTATGTTTGTTTGTTTAAATTTAGTTTTAATATAAGATAGTAGAATATTTTTTTATATGACGATCCATTATAATATACCGTTATAATCTTTTTTAAATAAATTCCAAGTTCTATAAGAATTTGGAATAGGTCTGGAAGAATTGTTCTAAGCACCCCTATACGTAATCATTATGAAAACCCCTAAAAATAATTCCCAATAGTGTACCAAATTTTCTCTCTGTGTGGCTGCACCTCGTTCCCCTGCTAAATGCGCCTTTGCCGGCTGAATGCCTTGATCTGTGACTGGTTGGCTGCTGCCGTAATAATCAAGTCATTTGCCCAGGTGGCTCAGCAGGGGAACGGGGAGTGGCTGCAGGCGGCATCCTCTATACGCTTATGCAAAGTGACAAGGATGCTCTATGGCAACTCCTCCCCCACCTCTATCCCCATGCCCATCTCCATCTGCACCTGCAATTCAATCCCAACACCTCAATCTTCCCCAGGTGTCGACAGCACCACGCTGAAGGAGGATGGCATCCACGTGTGGCGCTTGAAGCACTTCAGCAAGCCGGCGTACTGCAATCTGTGCCTCAACATGTTGGTGGGTCTCGGCAAGAAGGGTCTCTGCTGTGTGCGTGAGTATCTGTGAGGAGTATCTGTGGCGAGTATCTGTGGGGGCCATCTGAGTGTGGGGTCGTCTGGTGGCAGGAAATTGTCTATTTCAATGGCCAAAGTAACTTTAAAGCCGTTTCACAGCCCTGAAGCCATAAAAGCTAGAAGAAATTTATCAGATAAATATTAAAAGAAAGCTATTAGGGTGCATTTTGTTCTCGATTAGCTGGTAACAATATACACAATAAAATCTACAAATCATAGCTTATAAATATTCTGAATCTTTTGATCTTATCAGGTTATGGTGTTATATTCAGGATGTTTAGCAAACATTTTCAAATACAATCCCAATGATTAAACATGATTGCATAAATGTTATCAAGCTTCATGTATTGTATTATACAATGTTATATAAATCATCACATTTAAATAGGATTGAATTATTCAAGCTTTAAATTTAAGTCCACATTTATCTATGCTTAACAATCATTGCATTATATTTGTCAATGATATTATCTTATGTATGGCAAGCTGGGAATTTAATTAAAGCCGCCTGAAAGACAGGATGAGCATAGCTTAATTTGAGTATAATTTCAATTTTCCACAATTTCAAATGTATTATAGTTATAATTATTGAGCTAAAACAAATTGACATTACATTTTATTATCATCCGTGACAGTTTGCAAATACACGGTCCACGAGCGGTGTGTGCAACATGCCCCCGCTTCCTGCATCACCACCTATGTGAAATCGAAGAAGCCCAAGTGTGGGGGAGATCTGCTCCATCACTGGGTGGAGGGCAACTGCTACGGGCGGTGCTCCAAGTGCCGCAAGAGGATAAAGGCCTATCACGGCATTACTGGACTCACCTGTCGATGGTGCCACATGATGGTGAGTGGGCGGGCTTGACCTTGGGCATTGATTTAGAGTTGAAAGAGGTGAAGGTGACTCGCTTAAGTGTTCTAGTAAAATTTTTGGATCGACAAATCATCTCTGAGAATAAAAGGTTCACTACGAAACCGTAGGAATTAAGACTCGTTCGCAAAATTAATAACACATTGGGAAACAGATTTTTTCAGAAACTATTTAACTTTATGCTAACTTATCAAATTATAATCGTAGCATGACATTGGACAATCCCTAAATAGCCCTTAATCGGTTAACTTTGGTTGGCGATTTTGGTTAAAGGTTAAGGTTAAAATGACTGATTTTCAAATGCATGTTAAAGTTAAAGATCAAGTTAAAGTATTATATTTCTAACGTCACAATTAGAAAACGAATTTTTCTTTCCGAACAATTGTACTTCATGTTAAATTTTTCTGACCGATATTATAACTATAACCGCAACGTTACATTGAGAAATCCCTAAAAAGACCTAAAGCGGCTAAAGTTGGTTGGTTGGATAATTACCCAATGCCATTTAAAATTAAAGTTAGAAGTAACATTACATTCCGAACAATTATACTTCAGGTTAACTTTTTCTAACATATATCAGACCTTAACCGTAACATGAAATTAATTAATCCAGAATATCATTAATCGTTAAACGTTGTTTGGCGGCTTTGGTTATGTTTACAATGAGTGATTTTCAAATGCAAGTTAATCGAGATAGAAACAAATGGGTGACAAGAACAAATCAGATCTGTTCCGCCGGTTGGATTGCCGGCATTGTTTCGTAACAAAAATTCCAATTACTCGGGAAAACAAGGCAACCCTTGGCCCAGCACTCCGTCTGCAGTTTTGTCGGCAGCTGTGATTCGCAGCCCGGCAGAAGCCCCAACACATCCAGTTACCAGTTACCAGTTTTCAGTTACCAGTTCCCGATACCTCCCCGAAATTCCCAGAACCGGATGCGATCCGGGGCACACATGAGCCGGGAACTTCGTTATGGCTGGCAAATTGTCACGTCCCGAGCAAATTGCGCCGCAGCCGTCGCCGTTGCATGCCACCAACTTTTGTGTCCTGTGTCTTTGACAAGTGCAGCGGAGATAATGCCGAATTCGTTGTTGCCCGAGCGCCGCCGGCGGGAGCGGAGGTCGGGAAACTTTGTCCTTCGATACGGATTCCGATTCGGATTCGGATGCTGCTGCATCGGCAGATACTTTGTAAGCCAAACGTTGCCAGCGCTTTTGACAGTCAATAACTTTGCATTTTGAGTGGATGTCGGTGTCTGTGGCTGTTTCTGTGTATGTGTCTGTATCTGTGTCCTCAAAGTTTTCACCCTCGATAAGATGGGAACGTGGTTGTCATGCTGTCCTCCGGCAGCAAATTCCTCGCCACAAGAATGCTTTACCTAATGGTATTTCCTAAGGAAAAGTATATCAATGTCTACTTAAAGTGAATACACAAATTTCAAAGCAGAACCTGAACACAATATGCATTTTTTTCCAATACTTTTTTTTATGTATGACTTTAATTTTAAAGAAAAAACCCTTGTGAATTTTTCAAAGAAATAGGATTCATTTATATGTATATTAAAAAATAATTCTATTCTATTCTTTCATCAAGTATATATTTAAAATCAAGAATGTAATAAGTGTATACTTATTTTACACTATCCTTTATATTCATTTCTAAATTTTAATTTAGAAGAAACACAGCTACATTTAAAAAAATAAAAATAAAATAGTTTCATTAAAAAAAAAAATCTGCTTGAATTCTAAAAAAATATATTAAAAACCAATAATCTATATATTTTATTTAAAAAGGTGTCAAAAATTTTATTCGATTTACTTGTCATAGCCAATAATCTTTTTCTCCGACCTCCCATCCATTTATTTAATTAAAAACAAAAAGTCTACAGCCTGGTCATCAGTGGATGACCAACTCCGAATCAATTTCGAAGGCGGCAGCTGTGAAAGAAATACAGAAAAGGAAGCCAGGCGGCCATTAGCCAAAAAAAAAACGGCAAGAAAACACTTCACCCAAATTGGTATTTAAATGAAAATCCGAGCCAAATCTCATTTAGACCAAAATTAACCATTTTTTCTGCACCGCGAGTAGTCGGCGCTAAAAAACGTTTAATCGGATTCATTAAGGCGAAATGAACGCCTGAGAGTCGTCTCCACCTTCTCCACGGTCATAAGTGGCTTTTGGCCAGCAATGAAGTGGAAATTGAATTTAAGAGCATAAAATTTCTATTAGACCGCGCTATCCTGCGCTGAATTTTCCTTTTTCCCGGCGCTCTGACTAATTTAATTCGGATTCGTTTTCCCATCCCATCACCTCGACAGCTCCACAACCGCTGCGCCTCGTCGGTGAAGAAGGAGTGCACTTTGGGGGAATACTCGGAGCTGATTGTCCCGCCCACGGCCATCTGCCCGGCTGTCCTGGATCGCCAGCGTTCCGTTAACCAGGCCAACAAGGTACGTAACCAATTTAAAACTAATATATCCTTAAACCTGCCCCACCAATTTATCAAATATACCATAAATTTATTAATTTATTATTATTATATTCTGTATATAAATAACATATCCTGCATAGAATGTTTTAGGAGATAACTTAACATTTTTAAGAAGAGCTTACAAACACCAAAATTATTCTATATTAAGGAACCAATATAATTTTTATACCCGTTACTCGTAGAGTAAAAGGGTATACTAGATTCGTCGGAAAGTATGTAACAGGCAGAAGGAAGCGTTTCCGACCCCATAAAGTATATATATTCTTGATCAGGATCACTAGCCGAGTCGATCTAGCCATGTCCGTCTGTCCGTCTGTCCGTCTGTCCGTCTGTCCGTCTGTCCGTCTGACCGTCTGTCCGTCTGTCCGTCTGTCCGTCTGTCTGTCCGGATGAACGCTGAGATCTCGGAAACTATGAGAGTTAGGCTATTGAGATTTGGCGTACAGATTCCTGAGCTTCTTACGCAGCGCAAGTTTGTTTCAGTAGACTGCCACGCCCACTCTAACGCCCACAAACCGCCCAAAACTGAAACTCCTACAGTTTTGATGCTAGATAGAAAATTTTAACTGAAATGTATTGTTCTCATCAATACCTATCGATTGACCTAAAAAAAAGTTTGCCACGCCCACTTTAACGCCCACAAACCGCGAAAACCTGTGACGCCCACAATTTGGATGCTAGATGAAAAATTTTAACTGAAATGTATTGGTGTCGTCAATACCTATCGATTGATCCAAAAATAAATTTGCCACGCCCACTCTAACGCCCATAACGCTTAAATCTGTCTACCGCCGGTAGGTGGCGCATTTTAATTTCGCTTTGCTGCTTGCATATCTCCATTTCCCTTTGAGTAACGGGTATCTGATAGTCGAGGTACTCGACTATAGCGTTCTTCCTTGTTTTTAATATTAAAATGTTTATTGATAAAAAAAAAAGCGAATAAAATCTTTTTAAAAAGTATTTCAACTCATATACAAGAGCTCATTTTGTTTCATTATATATATTTATAAAATAAATTAAGGGAATTTTTTTTCATTATAAAATTTATATTTATTATTATAAACCTACCTTAAATAAATATTATATTTTAAATTGTATTTCAATACACCAATTTTATACATTTCTATAAAGTTTTTTTTATAAATATTATAAAGATTATTTTCAAGGACCCAAAATGCTAATAGGAACAACTATTTTTTTAGAGTAAAATCAATTTTTAGTTGTTATAATAATTTATATTGGTGTATTTATATTAACATTTGTTAAATTAATTTAAATTCCCAAATATCGATAACAGCACCCTGCTGCTAGCCCCCTAAAATTGGCCAACTAACCTAACCCCCCTTTCAAAATTGAATTTCCGCCTACAAAATTGTACAAAAAACCCCAAACAATTGGAACTGCTGCCTGCTTTGTGCCCCTGCCCATCCATTTCCATGATACTTGCCGAAATCGTAACCAGAAATCCCAAATGCATCACCACCAGGCCACGCACTTCCAAATCACGCCGCCGGACGAGCTGAGCTGCCCGCTGCTGGTGTTCGTCAATCCGAAGAGCGGGGGTCGCCAGGGGGACCGCATCCTGCGGAAGTTCCAGTACATGCTCAATCCGCGCCAGGTGTACGACCTGTCCAAGGGCGGGCCCACGGAGGGTGTGTGTGTGTGAGTGATGGCCGTTCAAGCACGGTGATTGATTTCCGCTCTCGTTGCCAGGACTGACGCTCTTCAAGGACCTGCCGCGCTTCAGGGTCATCTGCTGCGGCGGCGACGGCACCGTCGGCTGGGTTCTGGAGGCCATGGGTGAGTGTTTCGGGGAATGAACTTCCTTTAACAAGATAATTTTATATGATTTTAAACATTATCTATTATTTGAATACATATTTCTGTTAATATACTTACAAATAGTAATTGTCTTTTTGAAAGTTAAACCCTTTGAAACTGTTTCAATGTTTCAATATGAAAGAGGCATAAAAAACATTTTATTTGCTGAATTCCAAAATCATACTCGCCGTCCATTCTAAAAAAACTAAGAATGAAAATTGTAGATTTATTTTCATAATAAGAAATTTCTAAAATACATCTTAAAGTCAGTATAAAATCAAGTTAAAAGTATTAAATATTTTGATAAATATAGATAATACTGACAATCCATTCTTGTTTTTTGGAAATTAAAATTTTTTTTTTATCTGTTAAAATGACGGTAGTTAAATAAAATGTATATTACTTCTTTTGGAGTATTTTCTTATATGATATATGGATCCTAAGACAAATGTTTTCCTCATTTTCCTGCAGATTCCATAGAGTTGGCCAGCCAGCCGGCCATTGGAGTGATTCCGCTGGGAACGGGCAACGACCTGGCCAGGTGTCTCCGGTGGGGCGGTGGTTATGAAGGCGAAAACATCCCAAAACTTATGGATAAGTTCCGAAGAGCCTCCACCGTGATGCTGGATCGCTGGAGCATCGAGGTGACCAACACACCACACAGCGATGAACTGCGACCCAAGGTATTTTACTTTAACTTCTTATTCATAACTAATAAGTTACTTAATGGATATATTTAAAAATATTATTAAAACGTAGAAAATTAAATTGGTTTTAAAAATAAGTTAAATATTGGGATATAGGCTGCGATAACTATTTAAAACACATCCAGTCAATTCAATACCATAGGTTTCCTTGCTTTAATTTATTAATTAAGTAATATAGGTCTAATTAAGATCCTAAGACCTTAGTAGGTTAGGTTACTTTGAGATAGCTGACTTGAAATGACTTTGTTAAACTTGTTCTATTAGATACAGAAAGCCCTTAAAAAGCAATATTTATGGCAATTTGGGATTTATTTATTACCCTATCTCTAGTCTTGTTACGAGTTTAGCTTTATTTAGGTCTCCAAACGTTTGAAATCGAATTGGCATGCTTAACATTAGCCATAACCCGCCCAGAGGAGGCGTGAGTGGGCGTGCCCAGGGCCTGCCAGCTGGAAAATCCAATTATTGGCCACAAAGCGCTTACCACGCACACCATCCTTATGGATTTCCTCTGGGAGGTGTTAGAGAAGGGGGAGAAAAACGATTACACAAACTAATTTTGCTGGTTGGAAGGCGTGATGCTGACGCTGCCAGCCTGCAATCCGCAAAACTTCCACCTTTGTGCTGGATCCAACTGGCAATTGTTAACCGAAGTTTTCCCCCTCTATTTTCTCATTTTCCCCGCTGCAGGTGACGCTGCACTCGAACATGCAGAAGGTGATTGAGCTGTCGCAAAGTGTTGTGGTCGACAAATCGCTGATGGAACGCTTCGAGGAAATCCAAAGGCAGACCAAGCTGGCAACCACAGCGGCCTCCAGCACATCGATTATGATGGCCAGCGAAACGGAAACGGAAATGGAAGTGGAAACGGAAACGGAAACAGCCACCATGGAGTTCGGCATTGGCAGAACGACGCGTACCACCACCACCAAGAGCATTTCGTTGTCCACATTCGAGACGCAGTGCCTGCAGAAGACCCTGCGGACCGCCCTGAGCAGCAGCAGCAGCAACACGAGCAGCGGCAGTCCCTGCAACGGCGGCAACCAGGAGGCGGAAACGGAAACGGAAGTGAGGGCCAATGTCGATGCCGCGACCATCAGAGCCGGTGGAACGGAAAGGCAATCACTTGAGACGCTGCTGCTGCAGCACAAACAACAGATGCAACAGCAGCAGCAGCAACAGCAACAGCAGCAGGAGCAACAAGGATCGATTGCTCCTGCGGAAGCTGCAACAGCAACGCCAGATGGGAATAATCAAAGCGATAATAATGGCCAGCGCAATAAGCAAAACAACATCCTTAAACAGCAAATTACATTGTCATTGGATTTGTCCGACCATAAGGACGACGATGGCGATGGCATTGGCAGCAACAGCATCCCGGCAACACCAATCACGCCCACACCCACAACACCAAATGCCACGTCGAGTGTGCCGGCACAACAGCAACAGCAACACCAACAGCAGCAACATCTCCAGTTCGAGCAGCAACAGAAGCCCATCAAAGTGCAATCTGACAAGGACTGCACGGTGCCCTACAATATAATCAACAATTATTTCTCCGTCGGCGTGGTGAGTACGCTTCACTGCAGGCACTTAAAGAAAAATATTCCAATTCAGCAGGGGTTTTACTTTAACTTGTTGAAATTAATTCCCTTTTAAATCATTATCATCCTATCTGATTTTAAAACTAAACTGTCAGTTAAACTGACAGTTAGCTAACTACAAAACTTACTACTGTAATACCCTGTAGTAATACCAATGGGTTTACTGGCCTTATAAATTTAACATAAACCAGAAACAATAACTATGTGCTATAAAACACATTTAACAGGCGGTTAAGTTAGTGTTAACCCTTTCTTGAATGCTTCCTAACAAATGTTAACTGGCACTCGAGAAAGAACTTTCAAAGGGAAAAAAGTTTTCAACCCATTTACAAATATAGAGAAGAAAGTTCTATATATAGAACTCTAATATAAATATAATATTATCAAGAACAAAATATTGAATTGTCAGAATCAATACCATTTTATGATTATTATTATCGTGCAACTTACATTTTATTATTTAATATTATATTTCAAACGTATTTCCAAATCAAAACCTTTTAAATATTATTTGGATGTCAAAAGACTTCTTGTAGGTTTCCTAAATGTTGTATCATTTTAACCAAGAGTAAAAAAGTAAGAAAAACAAATTCAAAAATTCCAAAGGCTATTTAGCCTTATATAATTATATAATTATTAATTATAATTATAATTTTATAACTTTCATAAATATAGTAGTCAAAACATATTTTGTTATGTTTTTTAAAATTTATGACAAATCATATTTATTTATTTGCCAAAGATATTTTTTTTAGTGTACATGCTGGAATGTTTAGAATGCAATACTTGTTTTGCTGGACGTTGGATTGCGAGTCCGATTCGGTGCATCGAGTAATGCCGACGTGTCCGCATCCAGTTTCACTCCATCACATGTGATGCGTTAAGCCGGCGGTTGTCATGCCGTTTCCACTCTGATTCCCACTGCTGCTCGTTTCCTGCATCCTGTTGTGGGTTCAATCCCAGGCCCATGCCCATGTCCATGTCATCAACAGTGGCCACATCCGCCCCAGAACGAAAGCAACCAGGGCACAATTTTCATAATTAGTGAGGACGAGCTGTCCTGGCTGTTGACATGGGATTTGCATTTGACAAGCCCGCTCGCCAGGCTTAATTTGATTATCTAAGGAAATCGCGTCACAAGTCCTCAGTCTTTGTCTTGAAGCGATTTCCCGGAAAATTGCTCTTTGTGTAGGTGTACAAGTAATCAAAACAGAATTCTTAATTGGAAATTGAGAAATTGCGTTAGGATTCAGGGACTTTGTACGGCATCATGGTATACCTAGAGTATAATTATTTACTTGCCTTTAATGGAAGAAGGTTGATTGCTACCTTTATATTGAATCATATGGTTTGTTCAGAAAGTTTTTGGTGATTTTATAAGTATAAGTAGGTAGTTATTATAAACTTCGTTGTTATTTGATTGATTATATAATGTTAAGGACCTTAACAAAACGTTATCAGTCTCTAAATCAAGTCGCCTAATAACCTTTAAGGCAAACAATGTTTAGCCAAGCTACTCCGGGGGCTGCTCAATAATTCATTAAAATCGACTTAATCATTTATTCAGCGATTTGGACAGGAAACCGTATATTTCCGGCTTACCAGGCCAAATTCCAGCCACAATAAACAAACGCCCGCAACTGAATAACCTTTCACATGCAAATTTCTCTAGAACTCGCCTTCAGATAGAAACATTCATAACGAAGCAGTGAGCTGAGCTGGGGTTTCAATAAAGAATAGCGAACGTTTTCCGTATCCGTAACCCCTGGAAAACCATGAAAACAGAATCGTGCCTGGCGATTAGTCAAAGACTCTGCCGCGTTGCAACACATTTTGCATGCAAAGTGGCTGATTGCCACAAAAGTCGAATGCCACACGCCCGAGGCTCAAGTGCAGATACAGATGCGGTGCAGGGTTTCAGATGCAGATACACATACAGATGCAGATACAGATACTTTTGCAGTTTGAGCCTGGTTCTCGGCTCTCGGGAGTATGCAAACGAGGTGGCAGGAGTTAAGCACACAATCATCAGTTGTGCATTTGCATCATTGATGCTGCATTGCATTCGATTGCCAGGTGAAAGGCGGCTGAAAGTGCAATTTGCACTATTTGCCAGCACTTTTTGCCAGCTTTCGAGGCCAAATGGATGCCAATCGCTTTACCTGCGAAAAATCCAATCAAGCTGGCCGCCCCCCAAAAGTTAGGCAACACTTTTCCTGCATTCTAGTCTGCGTCTGAAGAATTCACGGGAAAATACCCGAAATAGCCGAAAACGTTTAAATTAATGAATGCCCAAGCTGTGGCCAGAATGAAACTTGTCTCATTATAATTTCCAGCAAGTGTTAAATTAGTAACTGCTCAAGGCGACGCCAAACACCGCAAAGTCATGGAAAAGAAACAGATTGCGCCCCAGGGACCAACACATATAGTATATCTAAATATATACCCACAGCCCACACACACACACCACGGCCAATAAATAGAAGGAAGGATAAAACTTTGCAAACTTTCGTAGGGGCTTTTGAATAATTTAGTATGATGTGAGATATGAAAATGGCTGGGAGGTAAAGGAAGCAACAACAAAATCACAGATACTCGCACTTTTAGCGGCCTGCACTCCGTTTATCAGGCCGGGATTTAAGAGGCCCATAAAGAAAAGTTAAGTGACAACTTTACAGCACCGGGCATGCCGCAGAAATGAAATGAAGGCCAAATAAAAAGGAAATGCGGTACAAATAACAGCCAGCCGATGTCCTGCCTTTCGTTTGTGTTTATGTTTGTGGCAGAGCGTAAACACGCCCATTGTTTGGCGGAAGTACACAGAAAAATTAGGGATACAAGGGTCAATTTTATATAATCTAAAGAAAATGTGAGGATTTTTATAAATTTATTTTCTTATTGTTTCAATTTGTTTGGAACTTATTAAAAAGTAACGTAAACTATTGAGATATATTATGGGTGTTGACCGTCAAAACTTCTATATATATTATTTCCCTGTTAGCATTATCGATTATTAATAATTAAAATCATTGATTTAAATGTTTGGTTACTATTTCTTGATAAAAAAGGTTCAAAGTGAATAAAAAATACTACAGTAATCTAGTATTTTAACCAATTTATAGTTATTGGAGTTGCCACTTATGGGATCTGGAATATCCGAACTATATCTATGGCTAGCATAATTTAAAAAGTAGAACTTTTGGGATTAAAACTAATGTGTTTAGTTAGAAAACAAAGCTGATACGGTGATATCAAAGAAGGGGCAACTTTTTAAAATACATAACTATCAGTTTGCAGGGAATTTTCCCGTGTATAAGCAGTTTGTGTGGCTGGTTGCGTGGGTGTTGTCCCTGCGTAAGGTCACACCATTTGTCAAGTGGCGGCTAAAGCCGAAATCCTTTTTGTGCAAACATTTTGCGCTCCCCTGCGCCACTGAAATCAGCCTAATGCCCCTGCCACAGATCCCCGGCAATTGCACACCAGATCCCAGAAAATCCGCACCAAAACCGAAATAAAAATGTGTGCTTCATATCCAGTTTGGGATTTTTGGGATTGGGATTGGGTTTCCCCTCTATCTATATGTGTTTTTTCGGTGCGTGTTAGTTTATTTATGACTTGATGTGCGTCTGTTTAAGCAGTAGGCGTCTACAGGCGAACTGACGGCGATGATGTTATTGCCGCTCCTGCTGCTGGGATTTCACTTGTCGGACACATTTCACACCGAGAGCTCTTTGTCCTGGGCCCATCACGAAATCCATTTAACACTCATGTACATGAACATGTGTCTGGTCTGCAGGGGAGTGCTCCTCCGGCTCAAGTGGCACAGCTTCTTGGGATCCAGCATCCGCATTCGCCTCCTTGGGGAAAAGTAGAAAGAAGGAGGGAAGGGGCAGATACTCCTCCTCGAGTAATACAGCATGAAAAGTATTTCACGCTGACACTTGGGTTTAACGTCAAACAATTGACGTTGAGCGCCAACTTGTGCGACGATGATAAAAGTGCGAGTTTCAGCCAGTTTTGGGAGTTGAGCTCAGCATTTAGCCATTAAATCGGGCTTTGGGAACAAACTTTGTATGGGAAGACAGGAGCGGGGCGTTTTTCTTTAATTTTATAACTTGACATGTCTTTCCAAATTATTTACTGCTTACAAAAGGGCTACAAAATCATGAATGTCGTCCATTAATAAGTACTTAAACAGCCTTTTAGCCGGTATTAGTATAGATATAGTATAGATAAAATAAAATCGTCAAAAAATTGACTTCGATTACAAAATTTAATGTTACAACTTATAGACATATGAAAAAACTTAACCCGGAAGTTAAAGCAATTGAATGGCGAATTCTTTTCACTGCACATTCAACGCGAATTCTTGAGATGCGTTGGGAAACTACAATTTGTAGCTTAGATATTTTATAATACTTTTCACCCATTTTATAGATTACCAAATGTTAATTATTAAATGTTAGGAAGGCTAAAGAGTTTATAATATATTGATTTGTAGTAAAGGCCTAAAAAAGTGCATACATAAATATTCTCAAAACCATAAGCTTATCATGTACTTCAAAGATACTTTCAAAAAAGTTAAATAATACAAAATAAGTCATAGACTTTATTTTGTCTAGCTGCTTTTTGGCTCACTCCGCTCAAAAAGTTTTACTTTACTTAAAAACCTGTCACCACTGTTTGAGAAGGTGGAAGATTGTAAACTGGAGGCTTTTATGGAGTTGATGTGTAATTGTCTGAGCTTCGACTTTGACTTTGGCTTAAGTTTTATGTACCGGGAAAAAGAGATAGCTGGCTGTATGTGCATTTTATGGCAGGGCTTTTGTACCTCAGTTGCTCATACGCCCCGTGGCCTCAAGGAAATATCGCCTTATCTAAAGCAGCCTGGATTTTGTGTGCCAGTGTTTGGGTATACAAATTATTTCATTAACCTCTCACCCACCCCCAGCCCTTTTTAACAGCCATCCTTGGCCAAAGTGCCAAATGCCATGGCTGGCTTTCGGGCACCATGGGCAAACTTTCCCCAATGCAAACAAGCTGTCAGCTGGTGTCCCCACCTCCACAACCACCGCCTCCTCCTCCTCCTCCGTTGACTAATGAGTATCGTGCGGTCGAGGCATGCTAATAAGCTGGGCTCTGTCACTAAATTAGTTTACCGCACATAAAGTGACAACGGGTAGTGGGGCAAACGGGATGCGGCTGTAGCTAATTAAAAAGTTTTTCGTCGATTTTTCGATTTTAAGCTCTGGCAGGCGCTCGCTCATGTTGACAATTCAATTTGACGTCGAGCGGTAATAAATCTTATTTGCTGTGCCAACCAACAGGCCGTAATTGAAAGTCCTGCCACCACCACGTGCCCTTCATCCGGCGTACAAAGGACGAGAGCCGAGCGACATGCATAACAAATGCGCTTGCCAGCGAGTGCAACGTGTCGTATGCGCAACGTTGGCCCACGGGGCGGGCACGCAACCGAATATCCGCATAAGAAATTAAAACGCAGCCGTCCGCCCGATAAAGGACCTCCTACGTACGTTCATCTTCCGTGGAATGGAGTAGCCAGTCGCCAGTTGGCAGTTTCCCGGTGCCTGGGGCTCTGTAAAGCAAACACTTTGGCATAGGAAGGGAGCAATCAGCACGTGAGCTTACCCAGTGCACATGTGGATACGAAAATAGCACTAGGTTTTTACTAGGTTTTCAAAAATAACTGGCTTTGCTTTGCGGCCTCTTTAATTTTAAAGTTGTTCAGAAAGAAAAGTGTCAAGTTCAACTTGATATTCACCACTTTACTTGATTTTAAAATGAAAATTGCAATCTTCAATTTCTTTCTCGTCGAAAAGATTCTCAAATCGGTAGAAAAAATAAAAAAGCAAGACAACGACATAAACTGTTTTGAATAAAAGCAAGGGAACGATGTTCAAGCTGCTTTATATAAAGCAAGAAAAAAGTATGGTCACGGAGTTTCACCAAAAGATCAATTTGCTTATCGGCGTCATGGTACACAACATCTTTGGATTTATAATAATATTATCATAGAATTAACACACATTAATGTGTGCATCCCATTAAGTTTTTAAAATGTATTTACCTAAAAAAAATATTTTTTAGAGTCGGAACTGACTGTTCTTTTTTAATTTTGTAATTTAAAATTCATTTGAAGTGATGAAGTTTTTTTGGCTATAATTGTTTGTCCGTAACTGTACGTGTGTATTAACACCTTGCTCGCAACTGCAGAGACTTAAACTTCGTGATAAATCATTCTCCCCTGGAAGTTTCTACAACTTTTCGATTACTGCAACTAACTGAAATAAGGAGCTTTATTCTCACCTGTCGATTGTTAATATAAATTAGACAACTTATCCAACGTTCGGCCACAACATTAATTAGCATTCCTGCGGTTGGGCCAATACCAACCGATTGCATTGCCATGGCAGCCGGGGTGTCAATCTAATTGAGATTTCTCGGGAAAGTCTGAATGGGAAATGGGAAATGGCAATCGCAGTCGAGTGCAATCCGAACGTGACCCTGAATGGCCCGTTCCGCCGCTGACCTTTTGATTGGCCTTGTTCTCATCGCAACCCACACAACGCTTTGATTTTATTTCCCCAGGACGCGGCCATCTGCGTCAAGTTTCACTTGGAGCGCGAGAAGAATCCGCACAAATTCAACAGCCGCATGAAGAACAAGCTCTGGTACTTCGAATATGCAACATCCGAGACATTTGCGGCATCCTGCAAGAATCTCCACGAGAGCATCGAGATTGTGGTAAGTGGATTGGGAGGGGGTTGGGATTGGAATCTGGGAGGAAATGGGGTCACCCGTTATCGGTGATTTATTAACGAATTCTATATGCAACGCAGCGTGTAACCTTCGCTTCATACTTGCAATTCACAGTGCGATGGCGTGGCCCTGGACCTGGCCAACGGTCCCCACCTGCAGGGAGTGGCCCTGCTCAACATCCCGTACACCCACGGCGGCTCCAACCTGTGGGGCGAGCACCTGTCCCAGAAGCGGATTCGCAAGAGCGCCGGGCCCTTCGGCAAGAGCAAGAAGCTCCGGGCGGGCGACAAGGAGTTCTCCACCACCAGCTTCAACTCCGTGGATCTGTCGGTGGCCATACAGGGTGAGTAAACCTCTCCAAGCCTCATATAATCATATAATCCTTAATTACTAAGGGTTTATCAGGAAACAGATATTACTTTTCACTTACCATAAATATCAATGGTATAGGAATGGATCCAAAGAATTGTTATAATCACGAGCTCAACTTCTTAACGTCTACTAATGTGTATACACAAACTATAGTTTTTTTATCGGATGCCTGCATTCATTCATCTATAGTTATTCCCGTTACTCGTTGAGTTAAAATTTAAATGCGGTTTCGTTCTTATTATCAATATTCCATTTAAAAATCCATTTAAAAGTTATATCCGAACATTTCCCAGTCGGACCGAGGCATGTGGTGCTTGATTCCACAATAATTTCCATAGGAAAAATTCAGGGGTATGCCCCACGTGAACTTTTTAAGGTGGTTTCTAGGGTCACCTAGGGTTTACGTTTTTTGGCGTGTTAGAGAAATCTCGTAACCAGCCGATAGGAATGCAAGATAGGTGGCGCTTTTTTGTTAGCTGAGTAACAGGTATTTAATAGTCGGGGTCGTCCACTTTACCGTTTTCACAAGTAACGCCCATTCGGTTTGTAATTTAGGGATCTTTAATATTTAGTTTCTAAAAATAAAAAACAAGAGTACTTAAACTTGTAGCAATTTGTTAATATATTATGTTTTTATACTTTCTAACAAAAACTGTAAAAAATCATTTCGTGTTTTAATATTAAGAAAAATATTTTATTTATCCTTTTAGAGCTTATTAAAAAAGAGAGCCATCACCATTATTAACCTATTAAACATATATTTCAGATATTGGAGATCGCCTGATCGAGGTGATTGGCCTGGAGAACTGCCTGCATATGGGTCAGGTGAGAACTGGGCTCCGGGCCTCGGGACGCCGCTTGGCCCAGTGCAGCGAGGTGATCATCAAGACCAAGAAGACATTTCCCATGCAGATCGACGGCGAGCCCTGGATGCAGATGCCCTGCACGGTCAGATTGGGATTTATTTTGCATTAAAACCATATCTAATGAAATTTGAATTTTCAGATCAAGGTGACCCACAAGAACCAGGTGCCCATGCTGATGGCGCCGCGATCGGAGAAGGGACGCGGGTTCTTCAACTTGCTGTGCAGCTGATTCAGGCGCAGCGCATCGAGCGACTTCATGGGCCGCAATGCCCCCGAGTCCGCCGATGAGCTGGACGATGACTTTCGGATCGTCACTAGGAGCACCACCGTCCATAACATAGCCTAGCGACAATAGCTTTAACCCTAGTCCACCCGCGATCGCATCGATTTGGTTAGCCCTAGGTTAAGGCTTTCCCTTATGATATGTAGTATGTGTAGATGTGCTACATGTATTCTTGGATGTATGTATGTCGAGTGAGTTACAGAGCTTTATATTTAGTGTTAGAGTAGCCAAATATACAACCGAGTCGAGTCAACTCAAGACCATTCCAATGGGAACCGAGTGCGGAAGCTGTATATAGCAATACCAGTACTAGAAGGCTTTAGGTGTACAGTGCCACAGGATATTTAAAAATGAAATACACTTTAAAAACGATAAACATAGCGAAAATTGTCCAAAGATGCAACTGAAATGAGACCAACCAAACAACCAGAAGAACAAACCAAAACTAACAGCATTGTAGTGCGAATTTTATGCCTTAGGCTTAAGTAATTTATTCCGTCATCGCCAGTGGTGGGTGTTGCTGGGATCGAAGAGATGTATATTATATAAAGATATAAAAAAGAAACATATCATTGATTTCCGACTCGAGAGATTGCATTTGAGCAACACTCGCCACTGATATACGAACTTTACTTTTTTTTTAGTACTTTATATTGTATATATAGAGAAAACAAATGTAACTTGATATGCAAATGTCAACTAAATGGTGCAGCTTTAAACGAAATTTTATATATGAATACATATATTGAGATGACAAGAATCGGATGTTGAATAATACTATAAACGTGTATATTTCATATAGTCATATATGTATGTTTAGTGCCAATAAGATCCTCGCAAATACAATACTCGTAGACGAAACACAAAAACATTTTCAGCATAAATTTTCAGAATAAACACTGGAAGGGCCAAAACTACCCACCAAATTCATATTTCAGATCAAAAATCTACATTCCATTTGAATTTTTTATTACTAAACCAAGATTTTACTTTATGCGGTTTTTTTACTAAATAAAACTTTTGAAAGCCGTATGTAAATTTTAAAAGCAAAGCAGAAAACAGTGCAAATCTCATAAAGTAAAGTCACGAATAAATATGTTGTTTGTTATATGAATTATCCCCAGAAAGTGTTTAGGTAATAGAAATATAATAACAAACTATTCGAGCACTTATTTTAAACTGTTAAAAGTCATGAGATACATATTTAATTAATTGGATATACTCGATATGAAATATGTGTCCTCCAAATCATTAGTTCCACTAAGTAGACAAGAAAGTTAATAGCTCATTTAGATAAATACCATTATTTGAAAAATTCCTACATAATGTAATATACCTATCACACAGAACTTGTTTGGAAACAGAACACTGTATAGGATCCTAGCCATTTCTCCTGTCTATATTGAGTTCTCCTCGTGCCATCCTTATCACCCATGGATTTCCTCCAGAGGACTTTCATACTCCAAGCCCCCTAATCTTTTGGCACGATATCCTGTCAATAGTAAGCATATTATATCAATGTACGTGAACGTGTATTCTGTCGGATTACAATTGCAAACTAACGTAATATACATAAAAATCGATTTATTTTGCAAATAAACATTTTCAATGCGATTCCCCAAGCCCACAATGCCTCGGTTTCGCCAGGAACAGGAGGATTTTGTGTTGGCGCCGGGGTGCCGCTAATGCCACACAGTAGCCAGTTAACATTAATTATAAATGAACCACTTAACATTAGTAAAATGCAAAGCAAAGCGGCTCAACTTAGGCCACGCTTGTGTACAGTACAATTAGGTCTAAGCATATAACTATCTAATAATAGCTCTATATTGGATACTATGAAATAATCGAACAAGCAACTACTAGTTGATATTACCAGTGAAAGAAACGAAGAAAGCGAGTGAAACTTGCAAACTATATACTATGTTAGCCATATTTTAATGCATAAGTAGAACAATGTATCCCCTAAGCGGAGTTATAATCTGTGTACAAAGTTTGCTTCCTTTTGTAGGTTTATTATAGTACTTTGTTTCGTACTTAGATTAGCCACTGAAGTGTGGTAGAGTGGTCGCTATATAACTATGTATATCCCATAACTGTTTGCCCGCATATATTGTACAATTTGGATCTTCACTTGTGCCAAGTACTAGATGAGATGGGTACCCATAATGGCCCTCAAATATAGCATATTCAGTGTAAAGGTCAAACCAGTTTAAGACAGCGAACGGAATGTAAAACTGTATAATACATATGCCATATTATCCACACGTGTATACTCCTATAACCAGTGTTTAAAACAACCACCAATAAATCCAAATTACGTGTAATCTTGGCTAAGGCCGTAGGCATTTTGCAGGTTCAATTTAATATGGGGACCATAGAGGCTTATAAAGGTTAAAACCTGATTACTACTGGGCTGTCCGAATTGCCTTAGAACCTCGACGGTGCGACATGGATGCAGTGCCATGAAAGGTCTAAATAGTACAGGATGGTCCATTTGAGTAAGTATCTGGTAGAGATCGTTGGCTTTTGTTTCCGGCATAAACAGTTTCCAAGTAGCCTCCAGGTCCAGAAGACTTCCATCTGCAAAAAAATTTTTTTAGTTTCGATTTTAACAAGTTCTTAAGCTATTGTGAATACCTGATCTGTGTGCCTGGAAAAACATCATGGGTACTTGATAGGAAATACTATAGACCACGTGATACTCCACATTAACCAACTCCCCTGTAATATCCTTAATCTTTTGACTGAACTTCAGAAAGGTGTTGGCTTCATCCGAATCCTAAATCAAAAAATTATTATTAATAAATGAAACTATGAAAACTTTTGAGGTCACATACCTTTTCCACCAGCATCCAACTATCACCCAACTGCTGAGAAATTTCTAGGAACTGCTTAGCCTGACTCAGAAAGTCTTTCCAGCTTAAATCTCCCATTATACTGAAAGTAAACAATTTAAGAACGGATAACTTTAATATAATTAAACACACATCCAGATACTTGAAAGAAAACAATTTGTTTTTGCGTGGGAAACAAGCCTCGTACATATATTTCAGAATGTCCTGTATCCTAGAGCAAAATTGAAACGCCAAAGGTTAAAGCTCCTCAACACGAAATACTTAAGCTAAACACAAATCTTCAATGAACAAATATCAATTGCAATAATCCGTAAGTTAGGCGCTACGCAGATCGCCGTCCAAGGCGGTAACCTGCACATTCTCATTACGCCGGACCTGAACCACTGTCACCGTGGCGGCCTTGTCATCGAATTTGCACGTCACCGTGACCTCCCGCAGCTGGAAGGTGAATATTTGCGAGCCGTATTTTGTGCGCAAGTAAACGGAGCGCGGATCCGCCTCCAGAATGTCTACGATGCACTGCTTCTCCACTTGCAGCTCCTTCAGCTGTGCCTCGGCATGTTCGTTGAAGGTGACGCTTAGCCGATTGCTGGCCACCACCCAGTTGGGCACTCGCACGGCACTCGGTGGCGGCGGCATGGCATCCGCACCCATGCCAGAGTTGCCACTGTAACCAGCTGCTCCGTACAGCTCCAGGTCAGACTCCTCTCCGTCGGGCTCTTGCCGGGAATCATAGAAGTCCAGGCTATTCTCATGCGGTCCGGCAGAGGTGCGTCCTGTCCGAGGCAAGAACGTTAGTTGGCTTTCCGGTTTATCGTCGCCCAACGTACCTGAGTCAACGCTCAAGGACGGCGCATCATAGTATGGAATGTAGGGCTTTATGTCCAGCACCGGAGTTCCGTCCACCATGTCTGTGCCAAAGAAGCTGATGGTGGCGTTCTCGATCTTCTCTATCTCCACCAATGAGAGACCAATGGGACAGGGCCGGTGTGGCGACCGTGTGGAGAACACACCCACCCGCTCGCCACCGAGACGGGGAGGCGCCACCTTGGCTTTGGGATGGGCATTGTTGCGGTGGAAATGATAGATGAGCCACAGATGCGAAAAGTCGCCCAGTCCCTCCAGCGAGTGCTCCGGATTGGTAAAGACACCATCGTTCAGCTGGATGATACCGCGAAGTCGACTACCCACAACCGATTGTCTGGGTACGGCTCTCTTCTCTGGGAAAGCGGTCCGGATCACTCCTATGGGCCGAAAGTGGGCGTTGTCATCTCCTCCGCTGGTATTTCCTCCATTGGTATGATTGCTCTGGGAATGGGTGGGGAGGTTGGGTGTCTTTCTGTTTGTGTGTGGCAGGGTCAAACGCACCTGACCTTGTCCCGGCTGCTGCTCCTGCGCTTGCTGCTGCTGTTGCTGCTGTTCCTGCTTCTCGCCGGCGACCTTGTCCTTGGCGTTGTTGCTCTTGTTGTTGCTCGCACAGCCCTCGCAGCGGAAGTCCTGCAGCAGGCGGGTTATCGTCTCGATGTCCTTGCGCTGCACATGCTGCAGGTTGCGCACTTGCTGCCTGCATCATGGTCAAGGCAAAATCGGTGTGAACTTGAACTTTACCAGTCGCAAAAGGACACCTATCCTTATACGACAATTTGTGTCTCCCAAACGCACCTGAGATTGTTGATCTCGTTCCGCGCAATGGTTAACTGGCTCTTTAGATCATCCTCGTGCATTTTCGCTTCCGGCGGCCCGCACTTGGCTCCCAATCAATTTACAAATGCAGCGTACTCCGCTGTTATTGATAAATATTTACCTCGAATTTGCCCAATTGGTTACATTCAGCTAGAGATGGGCCGTCTTTTACGCACGGCACCGCGTCGTTATCGATTGTCGATAGGTCAAATACTTACAGCTACTTCCTAGCTAGATCTAGCTTCTATCAATTTTAGCTACATCTTCTGCTACTGGATCGAAATTTGGGGATAGTAAAGTATGCAATTAAATTATCTATTAGTTTGCAATTATTTCGTGTTTCTTATTTGGGTAGTGGAATGTAACTTACAAATATTTTCATTTTGGGTGGAATATCATATAGAATCGTAATTAATAGTTATATAAATTGAAAAACAAATCCAGTGGAATTTAATTTAGCTTTTTTTTAACTGTTTTCAAGCTCAGCACCTTTTTATATTCGATACCCACGATAACCGATAAGTCCCAGCGCGCGTTGCTTTTCGGTATTTTTTAGGCCCATTGTCGGGTTGAGAATGACAATCTGAATTTTGCACAGTAGGTTCGGTTTGAAGCGACATTTTCCCTGCCATATACAAATCTGTAAATTCTTATTGTTCGAAGGGTGTGTTGCTTTTCGCAGTCCTCTTAACTCGATTTTAACCGGCTTGAAGTATCATTTGCAGCGACCGAATCAAGAAACACGCAACATGTCTCGCGGAAGTTCAGCCGGCTTTGACAGACACATCACGATCTTCTCGCCCGAGGGACGCCTCTACCAAGTGGGTGAGTATCGTGGTGCTTCCGGCTCCTTTGCCCCCGATCTAACATTCCCGCCTCCCCGCCAGAGTACGCCTTCAAGGCCATCGCCCAGGAGAACATCACCACTGTGGCTCTGAAAAGCGGCGACTGTGCCGTGGTGGCCACCCAAAAGAAGGTGACCGAGAAGAACATCGTGCCTGAGACGGTGACCCACCTTTTCCGCATCACCAAGGACATTGGATGCGCCATGACCGGACGCATGGGTATGGAAAGCACAACCATTGATTCCTAGTAGATCCCGGCATGAGTCAGTCTATGTCTTCTATTCCGAATAGGCATATTTGTAAACTTATATATGGTAGGATCGTTTGTTTCACAAACCAGGGTGTTTGAGAAAATGCATCGTAAATCAAGAGTTAGTAGTTTTCAATTGTTATAAAAGCATTAGTTAACGTTTATGATATTTCTGTAAAAGCGAGGAATTTGTTAAAAAAGGTAAAGGGACTTTCTCTGAAACATTCGACTGAGATTCAAAAGTTTTTAGGTCTAGTAAGTCTTAACCAAAAGAATTATTGGTTATAGCTATTTAAAGATTCATTATGTAGGGTATCAGTTCCTAAGATATTAAAAAAGGGCTTGAACATCTAAGCTTATTGTCATAGATTTATCCTGACCTAAATCTGAAATTGAAGGCTTGTAAATTCTTATAATAGTTCCACTTTATACCCCTAGCTGATTCCCGCTCGCAGGTGCAAAAGGCCAGGTACGAGGCCGCCAACTTCCGCTACAAGTACGGATACGATATGCCCGTGGATGTGCTGTGCCGGCGCATCGCCGACATCAACCAGGTTTACACGCAGAACGCCGAGATGCGTCCGCTCGGCTGCAGCATGGTGCTAATCGCGTACGACACTGAGATCGGAGCCAGCGTTTACAAGACAGATCCGGCTGGCTACTTCAGCGGATTTAAGGCCTGCTCCGTTGGCGCCAAGACCCTGGAGGCCAACAGCTATCTGGAAAAGAAGTACAAGAACAACTTGTCCGAGGAGAAGGCCATCCAGCTGGCCATCACTTGTTTGTCCAGCGTACTGGCTATTGACTTCAAGCCCAATGGCATCGAGATCGGCGTGGTCAGCAAGACTGATCCCACTTTCCGCATTTTGGACGAGCGGGAGATCGAGGAGCATCTTACCAAGATCGCTGAGAAGGACTAAGTTCTGCCCCGCTAGCTGTAATTTTGTCATATTTTATAAAGCCTCTCCTTGGATCTATGGTTAAATACAAAAATGCTCTTGGCTTGCATTCAAAACTAAGGCAAAGACGAAAACGGTTTTATTTTTTCTTATGCACCTTACCTCCGTATCGCATCACAAATGCGTTAACATCGAACTTGCGCTTGCACCCCTGATAGTTCATGTATCGAACCTTGCCGAAAATGGCCCGCTCCTTCCAGCCCATGTCGTGGATTCCCCCAATGGACCACATGCAGCCGACATATCCATTGGGATCGCGTCCATCGAGGCTGTACTTGTCATTCAGGAGAATCGCATATTCCAGTGCCTCCTCAGGGGTGGCGGTCCACTCGAGAATCTTCTTGGCCCAGTACATGCGCAGAAAGCCATGCATTTTGCCCTCGCGCACCAGCTGCAGTTGCGCCGAGTTCCACAGGTCGTCGTAGGTGAGGGACTAAAGAAATTAAACCTTATTAATTTTATAGCTTAGGGAAAGAGCTTCTGCTGTATACCTTCTCTAGTTCCTCTAGGCCATAACACGGATCCCTTTTATCCTTGCGATGTGCATCTAAGGTTTGATATGCCCACGAGCTCAGACCTTTTAGGCTATCATAGTGTTCGTTGTAGAAGCAAAAGTTGTCCGCCAGCTCTCGACGCACTATGGCCTCCTCACAAAAGGCCTCTGCCGAAGCCTTGTGTTGTCCCCGAAAGCGTTGCACCTCCAGGGCGCAGCGCTGTGCCGATATCTGGCCAAAGTGCAGCCATGGGGAGAGTCCGGACAAGGCGTCTGCCATGGGATCGTTGCGTTTGTCATTGAATTTGCGCAAGCGGCGAGTGCAGAACTCGTAGAGTTGCTGACAGGCCGCCTTATAGCCCGGTTTGGCCCATTGCACCTCGTTTACGTCCGTGTCGCACTGCAGCATGTCATAGGCAGCTGTCCAGTCCACAGGTTTCGCCTCCTTGCAGCCCGTTCTATGAGGATGCCTTATTACAGGTGGAAATTCGGTGAGAAACTCCCCTAGCTTCGAGTTGATCTTGTTTCGAATGGTGCGGGCAGCGTACTCCTGCTTATCCGAGGCCACCCACAGGGGAACCACATTGTGGGCATCCACCTGAACCAGCGGCACACTCTTGGGCAGCGCCTTGCCCACATCCTCGACCCATTTGCGCGGCAAACGCAGAGGGGCAAAGTCGCAGATTACGGCTCCTATGTCATTGGATTTCACGAATTCCGGCAGCTTCTCCGCGGCGTTACCCATTAGCAAGTGGAATGGTATGTCCATGGAGCGGCACTGCTGCTCCACCTCCTGCAAGCCGCCCATCATGAACTTGTAATGCCGAATGGTGGCATTCAGGAATTTGGGAACCAGACAAAAGACCACCGACAAGGGCAGTTCCAACTTGAGAGCCAAACGCTGGGCGAAGAGCAGGGCCCAGTTGTCCTGGACGCGGGCATCGCGGGACATCCAGTAGACGATGCCTCCTTTGCTGGATTCCTCTACATCTTCGGTTCTGGACAGAACGCGCGCTCTTTTCTTCCGGAAAGAGAACTCTTGAATGCTGGCTGCCGTGCAGACTCGCTGATGGTCCAGGTGTGTGAGGAACTGCTCGAAGTTCTGGTAATCGGGCTTGGAAGCCAGCGAAGCCTTCGAAGTGGAAGCCTCCTCGTCACTACTTTCCTGCTTACTTTTGTCAACTTTCTTGGGGCTGTCCTCCTTTTTGGAGGACTTTTTGGAGGGACCTGCCTTTGTTACTTTGGTCCGTTTCATTATGTGAAGCGGGAGGACCTGGTTAAGGAAATAGAGTCCTAATTGGTGTTTTAGTAATTCGGTATAACTCACTATCTTAAACGATTCGCGCCAATAGGTCGCAAGTGTAAACATAACTGTTTCTCGGGGTGGCAACTCTATCAGCTGTTATAAGCAAGGGGAAAAGAAGAAAGTAGCCGCACTTTGAATACCCTTCCTTGAACGAAGTCGAACATACAGTTGGTAGTCCCTTATGAGTTTCCATTAGGGAAGTGCCACGTTTAAAATTCTTTACCGTTGGATAGCTTACTAAAAGTTATGAGAAGCGGGAAAAATGAATAAGCATCACATGCAAATTTAATCAGAAATCATTCAAACCACTCCGCATTCTTTTGAGCTGCTTGTATTTATCAACGAATGTTGGATGCACATCTACTAGTGGAAATACTTTTGCGTTTGTTTTCGAGTTACCTATCGGAAAAATACCAAATAGTGGAAACCAAATCAAGAAATCGACACATTGATCACGATATCTTACATTAATCGATTAATGAAAAACACAGCTCTAAAAGCGCAAGTAAAATCGACGCTCTGACGCTTTATATTTGCTTGCAATTTGGAACTTAATAAAAATATTGATGGAAATGGACGACATATTGGACGAGTCAACGTTTAATGCCAACATAAGACGGACTGCTCGATCCACTCTTCTGCGAGGACCTGAACAGTCGATTCACAAGGAGTTGATCGAATACGCAGCGTCCTCTTGCCGAATGTTCTACATTCAGGACGCTTCCGCCTGGCAGGAATGGGCAACGACAAATGACGCTTTTCAGGACCTCTCCGCCCAGGAAGTCTGTAAAATATTCCTGACCGACGTACTGCCCCAATTGGACACTTACGAACTCCCGGAGAAGGTCAAGGAACGCTTGAAGCTCTTGGACCTGCATCCATTCTTCCGACGCGTTGACCATGGCTATCAGTATACTCCCGATTGCGGCCTGGCAAGTCGATTCGTACTGCAACCGCAAGAAGATTTTCTTCTAACTGGCGATATCCAGAAAGCCAAGGTATTTACAGTAAACCATTCAATTTCATATGTTTATGTACAATTTATATTTGAATTTTTTGTAAGTTTTTAATAATAATCTTAAAATGATAACTACATATAAACTAGAGCGTAAAGCATCTGACTCTGGTTCAAAAAATCAATTGATAATTACAAATCACTACCCAACACTTATGAGAGACCAACTCTACATACAATCTACAAACGAACTATGCAGTTCTCTTATTACTTCAGGAAAACTAAAAGTGTTAACTTTTTCGGTATCCTTACCGAATACAACAAAAGTTATAAATTGCAGAAATTCATTTATAGACGTCATTAAAGCAACTGAATAGTTCGTCATATCTTATTAAATTTCCTTTCCCTTTACAGAAATGTGAGTCCGAAGGAAGATCCCAAATCGTGCTTATAGACAACGAAGAATTAGAGCGAAAGACCTGTGTTGGGTACAACAGCAAAATCAGTCACGAGTCAGCCGTTTTGTTTTCGGCTTTGCTTTCCACTGATCAGGAGCTTTCTATTGGCCAAATGCATGATCTGGGTGAGATTCACCAACGATTGCGACAGGCCAAACAGAATTTCGAGGACCGTGCCAGACTTACACCATTCCGTGAAAACTTTGATGGTCTAACTAACGATGTAGAGGTCTTCGCTAATGTGAAATCAAAACTTTGTAAGGTAATGAGTGATCTTAAGAAGTAGTAGAGAAATTAAGTGTTACTTTTATTTAATCTATTTCATCACTATTACGAAAACTACGAGATTTTAATTTCCAATTTGGTTTACCATTTAAAAGCCCACATTTAGTGTATTTACGTTAACTCTTCTTTATTTACAATTGCTACAAGCATGTGAACATGGAAAAATAATCATGTGAATGATTAAATTGAATGAAAAAAATTACATCTTATTAATTTGTATTCGTTACAACTCTACTTTGTCTTTGTTTGCTATATATGGATTAAATTTTGCAGGGCAAAGCGAAAGATAATTGGATATCGATGCTTAACTATATATAAAATGTTAACTTATTAGGGCAATTCATGTTTTGAATGTTATAACTTATAACCGTTAATAATAACTTTAATAAAAGGTATAACCGTTACGGTCCCTCTTTTTATTATATCTTCGAATAGCCTCTTAAAGCCAAACAGAAAGAAGACTAAATGGTAATGTTAGAAAAATCTAGGTATTCCCTCATTGAATTAGCTTTCCAGATAGTAATTTAAAAAAATATTTAATTTACTAAAAAATGATAGAATTCCACAATGTTCCAAGAGAACTATCGTGTCTCCATAATCACAGCGAGGCGTCAGGTCAAATTTAGTACCTTATCTGTGCTGAATCATTTTCGCTGTGCCGCTATATTTAATTAACGGCAGCGATCATTGCAGTTTTAGCCGTCAGTCAAGTGAACAACATTAAGAACAAAATGCAGAAGGTTGTACTGCTGCTGGTCGCCTTCCTGGCTGCGACCGTGGCCCATCATAAGCCCGGATTGCTGCGTGTGCCGCTCCATAAATTCCAGTCGGCCCGCCGCCACTTCGCCGATGTGGGCACAGAACTGCAGCAATTGCGCATTAAGTACGGCGGCGGCGATGTCCCCGAACCGCTGTCCAACTACATGGACGCCCAGTACTACGGACCCATTGCCATCGGCTCGCCGCCGCAGAACTTCCGGGTGGTTTTCGACACCGGCTCCTCGAACCTGTGGGTGCCCTCCAAGAAGTGCCATCTGACCAACATTGCCTGTCTGATGCACAACAAGTACGATGCCAGCAAGTCGAAGACCTACACCAAGAACGGCACTGAGTTCGCCATTCACTACGGTTCGGGCAGCTTGTCGGGATATCTGTCCACTGATACGGTTTCCATTGCCGGCCTGGACATTAAAGATCAGACATTCGCCGAGGCTCTCAGTGAGCCCGGTCTCGTTTTCGTGGCCGCCAAGTTCGATGGCATCCTGGGCCTGGGCTACAGCTCCATCTCCGTGGACAAGGTGAAGCCCCCGTTCTACGCCATGTACGAACAGGGTTTGATCTCTGCTCCGGTGTTCTCTTTCTACCTGAACCGCGATCCAGCCTCCCCCGAGGGCGGTGAGATCATCTTCGGCGGCTCCGATCCCAATCATTATACCGGTGATTTCACCTATCTGCCTGTTACCCGCAAGGCCTACTGGCAGATCAAGATGGATTCCGGCTCCATTGGCGATTTGGAGATCTGCAAGGGCGGTTGCCAGGTGATTGCCGACACCGGCACCTCACTGATTGCTGCTCCATTGGCGGAGGCCACCTCTATTAACCAGAAGATCGGCGGCACTCCCATCATTGGCGGACAGGTGGGTACCTCAAATATTAAGAATTCCCTGGAAAGTTATTAATCCATCTGGTTTCCCCTTTCAGTACATTGTTTCTTGCGATCTGATCCCCAGTCTCCCCGTAATCAAGTTCGTGCTTGGCGGCAAGACCTTCGAGCTGGAGGGCAAGGACTATATTCTCCGCGTTGCACAGATGGGCAAGACCATCTGCCTGTCCGGCTTTATGGGCATCGACATCCCCCCGCCAAATGGTCCCCTGTGGATCCTGGGCGACGTTTTCATCGGCAAATACTACACCGAGTTTGACATGGGCAACGATCGTGTGGGCTTCGCCGATGCGAAATAATCGAACAAAGAAAAGTATACTTAAAATTTGAATTGTAAACATTATCGATCCTATTGTGGCTTTATCCGAAGAAGCTACGGAATATATATGTATTAGCTATAGCGTTTCTTTGTTTGATTATGAGTTGTTTATTCCAACTTTTGCTTACTTATCAGCCGAATGTATTTTGCTTGCTCTGCTATTTGATAAGCTCCCAAGCATTATACTATATTATGTATACGGGTGAATTGCATTTGTCATCATCAGTGGCGGGGCTAACTGGAAACGAATGTACATGGCTGTCTGGCAAGCTTTTTCCACTCAATTATTTTGTATAATGTATATTCTTCTATTATGTGATTCGTTCCAGCAGAGCGAAGCTTGAACCAGCCGGCTGATAACAAATCTCGGGGGCTCAACGGCTTCCTCTGTTGTCATTTAATTAACACAACTCTGCAAAGTTCAGCAATTTCGACTCACATTTCTTTGGTGCATATTATTTTTTGGGGGATCAGAGACTTTTTGGGACGACTGATTTGAAATTTCCTTTTTATATCAACAAATGGTTGTTTATATTTTTAGTCGTTATATCTGCTTATTCCGATACGATCGCTTTGAAGACAAATTTGTAGTTTTTAACAATGACGAGAATGTTTTTACGAGTAATTCCTCTAGCTTCGTGTTTTGTCTTATTGCGACGTTAAAAAAGAAATAATAGAATAGATGTCATACTACTGTGCCGTCAAAAAAAAAATTAAGAGAGATGGATCTTTATGGAACAAAAGTACTAGGTAGCACTCGGTACAAACCGGTTGCTAATTCATAGACGTGTGTAATTTTAGTATTGTAAATTTCTAGAAAAAAAGGTTTAGATTGTCGGAGTGATTACCATGGATGTATCGGAACAAAAAACAAATTTTGGTACTTAAAATGTGACGCTATTATATGGTAAATAAATTAAACTTTTAATTGGCACCCATCAAACTTTAGATGCAATAGAGTACTTAGCATATTCGGAAAATATTAATTCTACTGATTTTCAGGTGTTAAATATCTATCGCATTTAAATCAAAGCGAAAGATTTTATAAGTACTCAAGTTGCTTAGAACCAATGGTCTAAAAAATCTTAATTTCACAATTCTATATCTATACATTCCCATTGTGTCTGGAATTAATCATCCATATTGATAAAATCAGGCCCCAATCACTGAGATCCGCTACCGTTTTCACCTACATAATTCCATTGTTTTTGCCCGGCCTATCAGCTTGCAGTTACTTGAGATAGCCTTCGACCCAAGCCGAAGGAATAGAAAACAAATGGCGCGTGTGGGTTCTTCCGGATCGATGTCAGGTCTGACGTATGTTTGGGATCGGCTGCATTCGTAGAGAACTTTTCGGCGGACTAAAGAATGCCTCTATTGGCTCACCAGATTATCAATGGAACTCCATGCGCAGTGACAATGCTAGTGCCCCTGAAGTGACCTTTGCACCGTGGCTGAGTCAGCACAAGTGAACGATAGCCGTTTAAGAGGTGCTTGTTTAGTTGCGAGAACAATCCACATTGTCGAAATTGTTTAGCTTATCTATAACTATGTGCTTCAAAAGGGAACTTTTTTACTTTTTTAAGCAAAATTTAGTTAAGGATTCAGTTTAACAGTTCCCCAATTGATCAAGACTTATTCAATCCGAATTGCTTTGTAACAAATATATTTAAGCTAATTATCGAACAGTATTTGTATAACTTGAAATCTCAAAAATATAAATTAGAATATGCCGGCTGCGGCCTAATTCCAGGTAGCCAAGTTTGACTGTACCATGTAGAGTAAAAGTAGCGGCTGAGTAAATAAGATGACCATTTAATACTAGGCAAAGATACTAAGCTAATAGATACAGGCTGGCAGGCGAGCTGTGATTTGTTTGTTTCTCCGCGAACCCCGCTGCATCTGATCACTTCGGTTTGACATTGGCCGCCAGTTCGTCGGCGGTCGGGGTGGAAGTGTCAACGGCGGTCACGGCCTCAGGCACAGACTGCACCTCCGGCTGGACCTCCACCGTCTTTGCTGTGCTCAGGCTGGGTTCGCGCTCCTCATCCGACTCCGTGGACTCGCGGATCAGCTGCAGGGGTGTGATCAGCTTGCCACCAGCCACCTTGTACATATCACAGGTCTCGTTCACATAGCGATTGAAGACGTCCGGCTTGTCGGCGTAAACGTGATGGCCGGCGCCCGTCACGATCTTGATGTCCACCATGTTGCTACCTCGCTGCGACTTGATCTTCTCCCCCGACGAAGAGTCGATCCACGATCGCGAGCCGTAGATGAATGTGATGGGTATGTCGCTGCGCACGTCCTTGATGCGGTGGATCATGGGGTGCTTGGCCCAGCCGAAGGACTGCATCATTGTGTGGAAGGCGGACTCACCGCTGGGGTTCTGGGCATTGCACTGGTGAATGTACTGCGGCAACAGGTTGATGTCCTCTTCAATCGTGCTCTGGAACTTGCGCATAATGTCCGGTCGCGTCTTCTGCACCACCCACTGTCCAAAGGGTCCGGCGGCGCGCAGAGCCCACAGCGGATTGAGCGGGGTCAGGACTCTAGCTATGGCCCGAACCCAGAGCGGTATGGTTTTGCCGTTGGTCGAGTCCGAGGGCTTCTCGGGGAAGCCCCAGGGGTCGGCCAGTATCAGGTGCTTGACTCGCTCTGGGTATGTTAGCGCGTAGCTGGAGGCAATGAAACCGCCCATCGAGTGGCCCAGCAGGATCATGTCGTTTATGTTCATTTCGCGGCGCCATTCCTCCACCGATTTTACAAATTGCTTCTCGCACACCAGGGCATCCTTGGCGAACAGCGGTCGCGAGCTGCGTCCGAATCCGAGAATGTCCATGGCGTATACAGGCCGACCCTTGGCGAAGGCATCCAGGTTCATCACCCACAGGGCAATGCCCGCTCCCAAGCCATGAAGCAGGACCAGGGGCACCTCCTTGGACTCTGTGTTCATGCTGATGGTCCAGATCTTGTCGGCCTCGCCCACCGCCGGACCAATGTCTACGAAGAAGCCCCTGTAGGGCAGCTTCACGTAGGACAGTATCTTCTTCTCAACGGCGCGGAGCATTGTTGGTGAGCTGGATGTCCAGTTACACAACCATTTCCAGAGAAAGAATCTGTTGTTTCGGGGATCCTGCGAGAGAAAGAGAAAGTGACGAGTGAATTTGGGAGTGAAACTACAATAACAGAGTGTTGTGGGTTCGATGGGCACCTCTTGCCGCTGGCTATGCGATCCATGCCAGGTGTTCCCAGCCGAAAATTACTTAACCAGCGGCTGTGAGTCAATTGCGCAGTTGTTTTTGCAAAATGGGACCAGGGAAATGGGGATATTTTTATGTTGTTGAGGGATCTTTCGTAATTTCAGCAGGCAAAGCCGACTACGTTGGTGAGATGGAGCCGGACCTGGACCCACACTGCTTACCTCTAGGTCCATCCCCTTGGATCCCGATACCGCGCACGATCCCTGCGCAACTGTGGGCAGCGGCAGGTTGGAAATAGAGGCGGAAGTAGAAGTGGGCGGCGGATCCACCACGTCGCCGCTTGCCAATGCCAGCGGTTCGCTCATCTCGCTCCC